TTTATTTTTATTTTATTTTAGAGAGAGGGGAAGGGAGTGAGAAAGAAAGGGAGAGAAACATCAGTTGGTTGCCTTCTGTAAGCGCCTGACTAGGAGTGGAGCATGGAGCCCACAGCCCGTGCATGTGCCCTGACCAGGAATCAAACCTGCGACTTTTAGGTTTTCAAGGTGACGCCCAAGCAGCTGAGCCACACCGTCCAGGGCTGCGTCATTTATTTCTTGTGCATGGTGATTGAGCATGAAGGAGGAATCCCTTTCCTTTTCAGTAATTTGTGTTTCCGTATTTTGGAGGTGCCTATCTTCCAGACCTTATCAGGAGACACCACTTCTACACACAAGAATCAGGCCATCATTTTCTTTAGACTTGTTAATGTTTGCAGAGCAGATTACATGTGTGTGCAGTGTTCAATGTTACTTTTTTGCCATGACTGAAAGTCATCTTTGTTTACCTGATGCATTGCCTTCATTTATTCTTTTAAATAGTGTTTCCCATTTTGAATGACACCATAATTCGTAGATTGAATTGATGAAATTAACGTTTGTAGGAATCAAAGTGAACAGATTGTCAAATACTATCCTGATTTCCTTACGAGTTCCACAATTATCTTAGAAACAGTGTTACTGTGTTCTCAAAGTGTGTGAGAGAGACATGGCAGGGCTTCAGAGCCAGAGCCTGACCTCACAAAGGTCCCTGGGCTTCTTTGTGCCTCTGTTTCTCATCAGTAATCTGAGGACCGGGCTACAAAGCATCTGCTAGAGTGTTCTGGTTACTGCCAGTGGGAAGCCAATTACTCTGTTAGTGGCATGAAACAGCCACTTAAAGATGCTTCCAGTTTGTGGGCCAGGAACTGGGAGGGCGCAGTGGAAATGCCTGCGTTTGTGTCACAGTGTTTGGGTCCCCGGCCAGAAAGATGCAGAGGCTGCGGGTAGCTTGATGGCTGAGAGCTTGTCTTGGGAAGGAATTTTCTCAAATTTGGAAGTTAATGCTGGCTGTCAGCTGGGGCTCTTGACCAGAGCTCCTCTGTGTGGACTCTCCATGAGACCTGGGCTTCTTCACGGCACTGGGGGCAGGGTGGGGGCGCACGGTGCTTTCTCACAGCATGAGCCGGGGAACTTCCCCGCAGCACGGGAAGGGCGAACCTCACAGCACATGAGCACTAATGCTTACTCAGACTTCTGACGTCGGGCCTCAGGGTTTCAGAAATGAGTGTCCCCGCACAGAAAGCAGAGGCTGCCTCATGCTTGTGACATGGCCCAGGAGCTGCACCCCACCTCTTCCGCTGCATTCTTGAGGTTCCGAGTGAGGCAGTAAGGTCAGCTCAGATTTAAAAATGCCTCACGTAGGTCTTGACATACATAGTGGATTCAGGATATTTTGAAATGTTCTGTTTCTTAAATCTTTTAAAAGGTTTTATTTATTTACTTTTAGAGGAGAAGGGAAGAAGGCAAAGGGAGAGAAACATCACTTGGTTTCTCTCTTCTCACACACCCTCTGTAGGGGGCCTGGCCTACAATGCAGGCCTGGGCCCTGACTGGGAATCGAACCAGCGACCTTTCAGTCTATGGGACAACGTCCAACCCACTGGGCTACAGCAATCAGGGCTATTTCTTAAACTTTTAAGGGTGATTTAGCTATTCATGGACCTTGATTCCTCTATGTACATTTTAGAATATTTTTTTGAGTTTCTAAAAAAAATAGAAATTTTTGTTGGGATTGCAGCTATAAGACTTACAGATAATGACGTACCAAGAAAAACTAGTTAACTGTCCATAACCTGTTAGGACTAAAGGCCCCAGTGAAGTTGACAGGTAGAGTTAGTCCCCATGGACCGGGGGCATTGAACACGCAGCAGTCTACCATGCAGTACCATGGCAATGAGATAGTGTGGACAGTAGCAAGAAAAGCCATAAAATAGTTAGGAATTAATCTAACCGCGAGTACAGGAGACCTCCACAGAGAAGACATCAGACGGAACGCAGCTGTGGGAGAGGACTCGGGCTCCGAAGCAGGCGGCTGGGCACTGCACAGGTACCTCCTGTCCACGTTGCCCCGTCAGGACTGCTTCAGCGTCCGTGTGAAGTTGCTTCCTGTTTTGTTTGCTGCTCCATCCCCAGCACTTACAACAGTGCCCCGCACGGAGAAGACCTTCAGTAAATCTTTGTGGACTGAACCAAGGGTGCGGTGACATGCCCAGGGGCTGTGGGTCCTGCCTTTCACTTGGCAGGTTCCTGTGGCCTTTCTGTGCTGCCCCCTGGGTTTACCCACCATGCTGACGATTGATGACAGGCGACTGTCACTGATTGCACTGTCTGTGGATGACGTGGAGGTTCCGTTTCCATTTTTGTTAGTGCGGATAAAAATCCTTGTTAGCATCTAGCTTTTCTTGCCATGTTTAATGTCCTTTCAAATGGGACGTTTGAGCACAGAAAAGATTATTTGAGGTTATTTTAAAGTCAAGAAGACTACAAAGTTACAGGCCAGTTTTTTATACTTTTGTGTAGAATTTACAGATTCTTAAAATTCTGTTCATGCATTTAGTGTATTTTAACTAAACTCCACTTTTAAGTCAGCCTTTGATCAACTCAAGGTGATCAGACTAAATATACGATTTTTCATGATTAGTTTCATTCACAATGTACACATTTGGAGCTATAGTTTGAAGTTTAGTGGATTTAATTTTCTCTTTTTTAAGGATTTTATTTATTTATTTTTAGAGAAGGGAGGAAGGGAGACAGAAAGAGAAAGAGAGAAACATCAGTGTGTGGTTGCCTCTATGTGCCTCCTATTGGGGACCTGGCCCACAACCCAGTCATGTGCCCTGACTGGGAATTGAACTGGCGACCCTTTGCTTCACAGGCTGGCACTCAACCCACTTAGCCACACCAGACAGGGTTAGTGGATTTAATTTCATTTAATCACTTTCTATATCTGCCTAAACAAGTAAAACCTCAGGTAGGTCTAATAATTTAAAATTAAACATACAACGAATCTCATGTTTTCAAACTTTCTAATCCTGTCCACCAGGGGGCGAGCTCTGTGGTCAGGAATTTGGTTTGTTCGCTGCTTAATCCCAGGACCTAGAACTGTGCCCGACAGTCAATAAACTTGCATAAATGAAGAAACATTTGTAATTTTTGTTAATTTCTCTCCTATACCTTTTCACTAAAAAAAATCATGGCTGACGTCAATAATGCAAGTATACAGTTTAAATTAAATCAAGGTTAAACTTTAAGATTAATTCGCTAAATTTTCTTAACTATTGCAAGCACTTTGAATGTCAAGTAGATTATTCTGAAGCCAAATACCAAAATACTGAAGTCTAAGTCTTCCACAGGCTTAACAGCACCACTAAGGCACTGAGTTATCTTGGACAAGTTTGGGGGACCCACATTGGCCAGAGAGTTGTGGCCGGAAGACAGATGGGGCCCTGCCAACTTCAGGGCCTTCCTCCGCCCTCTGACCCACACACTGCACCCTCTTTTCCAGCCTCTATGGGCCTAGCCAGCTGCAACCGTCCCAGATTTATCCATATGGTCTGAGCAGGAAACACTTCACCACCAGATGAAATTCAACCAGTCTGTTTATATCTGATCCATTTCCAATAAACTTCTTATTCTTCCAGTCAGCTTGGACTAGAAAGTTGAAAAATATTTAAAATGTCATCCTCTCAGATTTGGCCCATGTTTCATTTTTTTGTCTGCCTTTTTAAAAAATATTTTTTATTTATTTTTAGAGAGAGGGGAAGGGAAGGAAAAACATCAGTGTGTGGTGGCCTCCTGCACACCCTCTGCTGGAGACCTGACTCACAACCCAGGCATGTGCCCTGACTGGGAATTGAACCAGCACCCTTTTGGTTCGCAGGCCAGTGCTCAGTCCACAGAGCCACACCAGCCAGGGCTTTTTGTTTGTCTTTAAGGTCTCAACATGAGCATTACACTCTCTGGTTGACTTGAGAAGGCTGTGATATTTTGTCTTGATTGGCTGCATGTGGTCTCACTGCTTTCCAAACCAGTCAGGCAGTCTGTGAGTCCTAGGGCTCCTTCAGAGTTCCAAGTTTTACTTCATCTTTGTTGGTAATGTGGTTGTTTTATATTCAGTAATTGCTGGATGAAAAGTATATTATTTTAAAATTAGCCCTGGCTGGTGCAGTTCAGTGGGTTGAGTTCTGACCTCTGAACCAAAGGGTCGTCGGTTTGATTGCTGGTCAGGGCATGTGCCTGGGTTGCAGGCCAGGTCCCCCGTTGGGGGCATGCAAGAGGCAACCAAGCAATGTATCTCAACACAATGCTGTTTTCCTCCCTTTTTCTCCCTCCCTTCCCCTCTCTAAAAAGTAAATAAGCCCTGGTTTGTGTGGCTCAGTGGATTGAATGCCCGTCTGCAAACCAAAGGGTCGCCAGCTCAATTCCCAGTCAGGGTACATGCCTGGGTTGCAGGCCAGGTCCCCAGTAGGTGGTGTGCAAGAGGCAACCACACTCTGATTTTTCTCTCCCTCCCTTCCCCTCTCTCTAAAAATAAGTAAATAAATAAAATCTTGTTAAAAAAGTAAAATCTTTTTTAAAATTAGTATTTCTTTAATTACTAGTGAGTTTTCATATTTCCTTGCATGAAGATTGGAAAGTTGTGCTTTTCTGTATTAGTCTGGCTGGAACTCTTGAAAGGGTACTAAAGTGACAACTTCAACAAGTTACATATCCTTTTTTAATTGAGTGAAACTTGTAGAAATAAAGTGGAGAAAAACCATGTCTGACCCTTGAACACCGTGGTGTTTATTGGAAGTGCATTAGGTTGGCGATTCTTGGATTGGATTTTAGAGTCCCAGGTGATGTTAAGAAATTAAGACACTTGTTTGAGTTTCAAATCACAGGTACTTATTTTTCTATGTAATGGGGATAAGAAATAAAGATTAATTGATTATTTCTAAATCTTAGGTTAGCCTTTGGTTTTTACATGTTGCCCCATAAAACGGATTGTGACAAAGGATGACAAGCCGGTTGATCATCGGTCATCCTCGGGGTCAGAGGCTTTCAGTTGTTTCCTCGTTGATGACAGGTGTCACTTAGTCACTCAGATTCTGTCCTGGGCCAGCATTCTGAGGATCTGTGGCTGAGCAGACTGACAGAGGCCTCGGCCAGAGCAGAGTGCCACCTTCTAAGTCCGAGTAGTCTGTTGGGATGAGCGCTGTGAATTCCGCTGAGACCTGTTTGCCTGCCTGCCTGCCTGCAGGTGCCAGGTGATGTTACCACCAAAATGTGGAATGTCATTCTGCTCGAGTGGGATTTGGAAAGCTCTACAAACTGTGAGTGATGAATTTGCAAAATGGTTCTTCCAAGTGGGGGCTAGTCCTGAGCAGATGGCGCCATCTGCTGGTAACTCCTGTCTGGCTTCTTTGGGGTCCCTGTAGGAATATTGGCCACCTTGGGACTCTGCCCCCTGTGTTCACCAAACAATGTAAATACATTCGTCATATAAAATTGCCTTTAAAAAATCCTCACATGGTGTTCCATTGTAGAGAAAGTGCATATTTTCAAAGCTTTTGACACGAAATTTCAAGTTTTTCCTTTAGAACAGTTGTACCAATTTATATCAGATATTGAAGTTTTAACCAGTTTTAATAGAAAGACTGCTAATCTACATGTTTTTTAAATAAAACTCTGATTTCAAAATTTTGAAACACACAAAGAGTAGAACAGCCATCCCTGCATTTCCATTCAGTAGGTGCTGACTTCGGCCACAATTTGTGTGTGTGCGCCCTTGCAGACTGTTTAAACAGTGGGTACCAAGACCATACCCCTAAATATCTCAGCCCTTGCTCCTCAAAACAAAGACGTTTCCACGAGCATACAGCATTGTCCCACCATCTCCACGCTCAGTCTCTCGTGTCCACTTATATACCGTCTGCCCAGTTTCCTAAGCTTTCTTTCCCAGCTGTTGTTTTTTAAACCAGGATCACATGCTTCATTCGGTGGCTGTTTTTTCTCTCTTTTAGCTCAGCATAGTGCCCTCACCTTTTTGTTTCGATTTTTGGGCACCTCCTCAGGACTGGGCAGGTCTGCCCAGAAGTTCTGTTCTTTTTTTTTCTTTAAGATTTTATTTATTTATTTATTTTTTAAATTAAATACTTTATTTATCTTTAGAGGGGAAGGGAAGGAGAGAGGGAGAGAAATATCAATGTATGGTTGCCTTCTGTGTGCCCTGCAACTCAGGCATGTGCCCTGACTGGGAATCAAACCGGCAACCCTTTGGTTGGCAGCCCATGCTCAATCCACTGAGCCTCACCACCCAGGCAGGAAGTTCTGTTCTGTGTCCCTTTTGGGAGGCCCATCATGTTCACTTGTTTCATTGCTGTCGATGTGACTTTTCACCTATCAGTTGGTGTGTTTTCTGCCAGGTCTCCATTGTGAAGTTACTGTTTTCCCTTGTCATTGACAGTCAGTGTCTTGTGGCAGGTCTTTGGGACCATGTGCATTTCCAGTCTCACACCGTGCTTTCACTGGCTGGTGTGGCCGTCCGCGATACTTCTTGCCAGAAGCAGTGATTACTGTGCTGGTCGCCAAATGGTGAAGATCAAATTCCTTCCTGTACATGTTGTCGGGACTCCACTGTCATTTAGAGCCCCTACCTACCCCACGTATTCGTTCGTTTGTGTATTGCTGTCAGCATGGACTCCAGGGTTTTTACTTTACTCCCAGTTCCCCTCGTGTCATGTTGTTCAGATGGTCCCAGACTCAGCCAGTGAGAAGGCCTGCAAGCTGGCTCCTCTGCCCTTCTGGCAATCCTCATATTTTCTGAGCACCAGTTTCAGGCGCATCTTGTACTTGACCTGACCCAGCCCTAGAATCAAATCAGCCATTTCTCTGAGGAGTCCTGATTCTTTTCATTGAGAATGATATTTATAAGTCAATAAGTAGGTGCTAAGTGCTGACTGCTGCTGGGTGTCACTGCTTCTAGGCCCTCTCAGTGGACGTAGCAGGGAAAGTGTGTGTTTGTGTGTATATGTACATGTGTGTATGTTTGCATGTATATATGTGAGATACACTGATCTACATTTATTTCTCCATATTTGTGTACATTAAAAACCATGAATTCGTACCAACAACTCTTGTTTCCAACTGGTGGGTGGGGGCGAGCCACAGGGAAGACTTGGGGAGGGTGGTGTGGATGATGATGCGTGTGCAGCAGCTGGCCGTGCGTGGAGGAGGCCAGTGTGCGCAGAACTACCAGGCTGGGCAAGAAGTTGACCTGCTGCAGGAACTACAGATGGCCATCCTTTTAACTGTGTCCACACTTAGAGTGGGGGAGGGACTGGACAGGGTTGGGGGGATGCTGTGGAAGGGCAGGGACAGGCAAAGGTCGGCCCTAGGACTTGATCTGTAAGGGCGGTTTGGACCAGATTTGCACTTTGGAAAGGAGAATGGGGAAAGAGGGTAAGAAAGAATAGAGGCCACCAGAGCTCCTGCCCTGATCAAGGTGTGGACCATGGTGCCGGACAGATCAGGCCACTCTGGGGTCACTGCTTGGGGACAAAGGAGCAGATTGGGGCACTGAGAGTAGGGCCGGGTGTTGGTGAAGGCAGACTCAGTATCAGGTTTGCAACTGTGGGGGAGGGGGGCGTGTCTCTCAACATTGGGAGTCTCAGAGGGCAGAGAGGGCAACATCCTGATGACTGCACATGGGCCCCTCCGTGGCAGTGGGGTTTCCAAGTCCTGCTGTTCCACGTGGGGCAGAAGTATCACTGCCACTTCAACGAAAAGGTGTCTTCAGACTGAGAGACAGCAGCCAACTCCATGGGATGTAATGGAATTTATTATAGGGTAATTTACTTACGGGGAGACTGGGTGGGGCTGGACCAAAGACAGGGGACCCAGCATTTTGTGCAAACCATCCGACCCCACACCCAGCACTCCTGTTACTGTGCTGTTTACACTGTGACTCAGGTGCTCACAGTTGACAGGACACAGGGACAAAGGATGCCGTATCGCCAGAGCCATCCCTTCTGATGGTCGATACTGTCACCAGTTTGATATTCATCTCAGTTGTCATCCTGGCGTCACCAACAAAAGGATTTGTGGTTACATTCAGAGACCACAGGTGATCATTAACTGGAGGGCTTTGATGTGCTCACTAAAGACGGTGAGGTGGGTCAAGGCCACAGCACAGACGGGCGCAGAGATGGGGATGGCCCTGGCTCACACCTGCATCTTGCACCATCTTCTCTCCTCCCCCTGCCACACGGGGCCATGCTCAGCCGTCCTTTTCCTTCACCCTCAGCTGCAGTGACGTGGCCGACCCCCTCCTCGGTCCCCCTCCACCAGCACGAGCGGCATCACTCAATTCTGCTCCTGTCCTGCTGGCTGCTGCTCCTCATTCTGTACCTGATCCCTCAGCTGTCTTACCTGGTCCCCCTCCTCTTTCTTCCCCCACGATCTCCTGCAGTTTGGTGGCTTTATTACTGCCTTAGGGTCCTGGGTTGCCTAACCAAGTCCCACTAACTGGGTCAACGGAAACAACAGGAATGGATTTTCTCGGTCTGGCAGCCAGAACCCAAAATCAGGAGGTCATCAGGCCTTCCACCACCTGGTGGCCAGGCGCTCTCAGCTCATAGCAGCATTACTCCAGTCTCTGCCTCTGATTCATGTAGCCGTCCCCTCAGCGTGTCTCAGATCTTTCTGCCCTCTTAAAGACACGTGCGTACCATGACCTAGGCCCTCCCCTCAATCCAAGGTGGTCTCATCTCGAGATCCTTAATAACTACATCTGTGAAGCTCCTTCTCCAGATCGTCCCATTCACAGGCACTGGGGGTTAGAACTTGGGCATATCTTACATGATACAGTTCACCCCGCTCTGTACACACTAACCACGCCCTGGTGATTACTGACTTTATATTTCTGGCCCAGACTCATTTGTTCAGAATTTCCCCTTGGATTTCTGGGAAGCCTCTCACACCTGGAACGTCCTGACTTTTGCTTTCCCTTCCAGGCCACAGGACCTGCTCCTCGTCGTCCGCTCCTCACCAGGACATGTGGCTCGCCGCTGCCAGTTGCTCAGGTGGGCGTGCCGGGCCCTTCCCTGAGCCCACACCCAACACCAGGCCACCTGCAGACCCTGTGCTTGCGCCCCCCTTGCCTACACCCATATCCTCTGTGTGTTCCCCAGCCACACAGCCTGTCCTTAACAGTCAGAGGGACCCTCCTAGGATATGTCAAGTCACGCTTCTGCTCAGACCTTCCCAGGAACGCCCGCGTCTTCACTGTGGCCCATGAGAGTCTGTGTGAACTGGTTCCATGCCTCCCGCCCCCTTCCCTTCCGTACCCCTCCCCTTCTCTACCCCCTTCACCACTCTGCTCAGCTACATCAGCTGTTCCTGTGGGTGCTGCTGGTCCCCCTGCCCCCAGGTGTCACAGGCAGCTGCCTCCTTCCCTGTCCCACGTTTCTCCCAGGCACTCACTGTCCGTGGCCCTGCCCAGAGTCATTTTCTGTCCCCACCTGGTTGTCCTCCTCTCGGCACCTCCCAGCATTTACCCATGTGTTTCGACAGGGAAACAAGCCATGGTTCCCTTCCCTGTCTCACATGCAGACATGGCTCAGCCTCTCTGAGCACACCTTTGCCGCTGCTGTCTGTGCCCCAGCCTCCCTGTCCCAGCAGTCCCTGAGTCGGGTGCCTGTGGTCTCAGCGCCCGTGCCCTTGCAGAGAGCCCGCCCTGGCACACGTCAGGGGAGCCCCGCACTCACCTCTGTCACGACACCGTGTGTGCCAGCTGACCTTCCTCATGGTTATGGTCCTGCAGCCCTGGCTTTGCCTGCCCGGGAAAGCAGGGGCTCCTTAGAGCAGTGTCCGACATGTGTAGACACGTGTAGACACGTGCAGAGTGAAGGAACAAATCCAAATGGCTGAAAAGTGTGGTAGCAAGTCAGGCCCCATGTGGGAGCCAGGAGCACGTGATTGCCACATACATGGATGATGCTGAGTAGAATTTGACTCATAGCCTCGAGTTAAAGATGGGTTTTTTCTTCATGTAAAAATAGGTATTTAAAAAATTAGTCCTGGCTGGTGTGGCTCAGTGTATTATTGGCTGCCAGCCTGTGAACCAAAAGTCACTGGTTCGATTCCCAGTCAGGGCACATGCCTGGGTTACGGGTGGGTCCTCAGTTGGGGGCATGCAGGAGGCAACCGATCGATGTATCTCTCCCACATCCATATTTTTCTCCCTTTCTTTTTCCCTCCCTTCTTCTCTCTCTAAAAATAAATAAATTTAAAAAATTATGCAGATGCTGTGGAGGAGGGGACAAAAGGTGCACCGCAGTTATTAACCGATGCTTTTCTGCTTGTGTTTTGCAGACACCGTTTGCTTGTGACTCAAGATGATTTGATGTTTCGTAATAAACTCATTAACCATGATGGCTACACAGACATTAAGCATAGACAGCTATCAAGATGGGCAACAAGTGAGAGCTTGGTTATCTGTGTTTTCATTACAGTCTGTTGACCTGGTGTTAAAACACAAGCAGTGCTTTGTATGTTAATAGTTTAATTTCCCTGAGGTGGCAGGTTCAGCTTCAGTGTATTGTGCATTTATTTTATGTTGTTCAAATTATTTCCTAAGTGATACCAGGACTGCTAGTCATTTTGACTCCCTTAAATCATACTGTTGTGGGAATTTTCCATTTTAATATCAGCGTTAGCAAGTATGGTTGCTTTTATTTTTTTTATTCTTTTTAAATTTTTTACTTATTTATCTTTAGAGGGGAAGGGAAGGAGAGAGGGAGAGAAATATCAGTGTATGGTTGCCTCTCTTGCGTCCCCTGCTGGGAACTGGCCTGCAACCCAGGCATGCACCCTAACTAGGAATTGAACCCCAATCCTCTGGTTCGCAGGCAGTGCTCAGTTTACTGAGCTACACCAGCCAGGGCAGTATGGTTGCTTTTAAAGAAAAGCTGGGTGTTCCCTGACCTGTGTGGCTCAGCCAGTGGGTTGGGTGTCATCTCACGAAGTGAAAGGTCGCAGGTTCGATTCCCAGTCAGGGCACATGCCTGGGTTTTGGACTCTGACCCCATCCCTGGTCAGGGCACTTGCTGAAGGCAACAATTATTTCTCTGTCACATCAATGTTTTTCTTCTTCTCTTTCTCTCGCCATTCCTCTCTTTCTAAAAATACATAAAACCTTTAAAAAAGAAAGAAAGAAAAGCTGGGTGTTGTTGATAACCACAGGTTTCCATGCTGATGGTTGCTAATCTGAGTGGGAATTGCGTGGTTTCCTATTCGCAGGTGTGAGCAGCAGGAGCACTGTCCTGATTATGAGTGGAGAGAGAGAGACATCGATTTGTTTCACTTAGTCACACACTCATTGGTTGAGTCTGGTCTGTGCCCTGAGCAGGGACCCAGCCCATCACCCCGACTTACCGGGATGATGCTCTAACCAACTGAACTACCCAGCCAGGGCACGGGCGGCTTTCTCAGTAGCTCTCCCTCTGTAAGACGTTTCCCTGAAGCCACCCAGGCGTTCTGTGTTCTGTGACCTGAAGGAATTGGGGAGCAGAGGCTCACTGAGGCCCGGGCAGCCTCCCTTGGGATTCCTGCGGTCATGGGGAAGTCCTGGGTGCTCCCCACGGGGGCATCCCCCTCTTTCTCGGAGTCCAGGAGCTGGTTTCCGTTGAAGACATTCAGCCCTGCCTTTGCTCCCCGCCATCCCCGCAGTCAGAAGGCAGGAGCAGAACGGCCGGCCATGCCAACAGCTCCCCTGTCCCCCTCCTTGAGGACCGTGGTGAGCGTGGACAGGAGTAGGGTCGACGTACCCGCAGGAGGCCACAGCCCCCACTGGGGAGGCCCAGGTGGGCAAGGAGCTCACTCACCAGCCCGCCCCACTCCTGGGCCCCTCTGTGCCCTGTGGCCCTGGACCTTCGCTTCACTCCTCTTCCCATGGGCAGCAGCTTGGCCAGCTCCTTCCTGCCCTGCAGCTCTTTGCCTAAGTCTTTGCCTTTCTGCCGCCCTTCCCCTGCCCGCTGCTGCTCACCACTGCAGCTCCCTCCGGTCTGTCTTTCCTTCCTAGCAGTGATCACCTCCTGACGTTCCATGACGTGATGCTGTGCCTGTCTGCCTTCCTCACTGCCTGTGCCCGGTGCAACCGAGCATCCAGTGCAGTGCTGGGCACGGCAGGGGTGCTGGGCATGGCAGGGGTGCTGGGTATGGGGTGCTGGGCCGGGTCGGGTTCATCACCCGGTTTGTGTGCTAAGCACTTCCTCCCAGCGAGGGAAACTCCTGGAGGAGTTTTAAATAAGTTATTTTAAATAAGTACTTACTAGTATAGTATAGTATATATAGATATACCGGATTTAGGTAGCCACTCTTCTGAAGTTGACCATGTAGATGCCCCTTTTTTCACAGTCATTAAAAAAGAAACCTTGAAATACATGCCATAGACTTTTTAATAATACTGTCAGACTTTGTTTGAGTGAGCTTGAGTTACTTTAGTGGTTTGTTTTGTTTTGTTTAAGAGAGAAACAATTTCACAAGTACACTGTATCATTTAAAGGTTGCAGAGCAGAAGTGTCGTCATCAGACGGTGGGGGGAGGGATGGGGGGAGCCTGGGTCTGCAGATCCCTTGGATCCCTCGGCTGCAGCCCCGGGGGTGCCAGGGTGGCAGTCTCGGGGGTGCCAGGGTGGCAGTCTCGACTGGGCTCTCTCATTTCCTGGGGATGATCCCCCGCCTCAGCTCCCCCGCAGGCTGCTTCCTCGAGGCCTGGCCCTGGGATTGGGCAGGAATGGGAGGTGACCTGCTGGTGGATGGTTACTCGTTTACTGCGGCAATTCTTTTTGTAAACTGAATTCTTTACGTTTAAGGATTTAAATATTTTTTACCTGACTTACCAACAACACAGCTAGTTTAAAGCAATTTAAATGATATTATTTTGAAGACTTCCTATTCCATTATACTTACTACTGTTGTTTTAAACACAGCAAGCTGGCCTTTATTTTCTAGATACAGTGAGTGACTTTTATTTTTTAATTTACAGTTTATGTATTACTGACATCTGAGGGTAGATAGGGGGGAATTTCGGCCCTGTCACAGAAGGTGTGCTGGGTGTGAGTCGTTTGTGCGACCAGATAAGAAGAGCTCCGACCATTTGTCCTCTCCTCTTCCTGTGATGTTTTCAGCGCCAGGCTGCACCGCAGGCAGGACAGAGTAAGACTGCGTACGGACCAGTTCCTGGCAGTGGCTCGTGCTGATGATGACTTTGAAAATCATAAGCATTTCACAGATATTCTCTTTGTTTTTAAATGATGTAGCTATTTGATCCTTAACCACTTTATAAACATTAAACTAAAGAGCAGTTTGTGGGTAGCATTTGTTTGTGTTGTTGCCAGTCACATAGCTGGCACTTTACCATTCCCCCTTGTTCGTCGCATTCCTGCTTGAGAATAGAACATTTAGTAGTAATTTGTTTCCTGTTTAGTAACAAGAATTATCCTTCTTTCACAGTTTAGTAACAAAATTTTTCCTGCTTTCACAGATGCAAGTAGTAACAGAGTTGAAAACAGAGCAAGACCCCAACTGCTCTGAACCTGATGTGGAAGGAGTGAGCCCTCCCCCTGTGGGGTCCCAGACACCGATGGATGCAGACAAGCAGGCCATTTATAGGTAGTGGAGAGTCGGGAAGCACGTGGGCTGTGAGGGGCTCATGAGAGGAGGAGACTGTTAAAGGGGACGGTGGAGCTGTGAGCTCGGCAGAAGGAGGTGTGATGTGGTAACTACTGGTGTGAAGATATTTGCAGATTCAGATGTTATTCTTCATCTTAGTTTACCTTGCAAAACACAGTTTTCAGGCCCAGATGATTTTACGAGAATTCTACCAAAATTATAAGAAAAAAAGCAACAGGTCTGTACAGTCTTGTCCAGAAAGTAGAAGATGAAGGAAGGAATGCTTCCCAGTTCACTTTACAAATTGAGCATCAATCTGGTACCAAAATAATAGGAAAAAAATGTACAGACAAGTATCCCTCATAAATTGGGACATAAAAATCATCAATAAAATATTAACAAATTGAATCCAGCAACAAAAAGTAATAGAATAGTATTAGAACGATAAATAGTACCCAAGCGGAGTTTATTCCAAGACTAGTTAGTTCGCTGTTCAAACTTTAACCAGTGAGATCCATAGTGCAGGCGCATCAAATGATGTGGAAAAGTGTTTGACAAAATCAGCTGCTAATTACCATTAAAAACTGTCAGCAAAAGAGAACTTTGAAACTAACTAATGAAGGGAGACTACGAAAGCACTCAGCTCACATCAGACTCGATGGCGAGAGACTGGCTGCTTCCCCCTGGGACTGAGGACGAGGCAGAGCTGCCCACCTGACCCCCTCGCTCAGCACTGCAACGGGCGCCCTGGCCAGAGCAGCGAGGCAGGCAAAAGATGAGAAAGGAAGAAGCAGAACGGGCTCTGCACAGACAACGTGGTTGTCTGCAGAGAAGTCCGAGTATTGACCAGAGAACTTGCAGGTGTAGAAGGAGTTTAATAAGGTCACGGTTGCATGCGACACACAGAAACCAATCCTGGTTCTATACCAGTAACGTATGATCAGAAACAAAAATTTAAAAACCAGTACATTTACAAAAGCTCCAAAGAATCTTAGGTATGAATTCATGCCTGTAAAGTGCTGATGCAAGCAATCAAAGACAACCTAATAAATGGCAGGACGTACCATGTCCATGGATTGGAAGGCTCAACCTAATAAAGATGTCAGTTTCCTAAAATCAGTTTGTAGACTTAATGCAATTCCCATTAAGTTTTAGCAGGATGTTTTTGTATAGACAATTCTAAATTTTATATGGAAGTCAGAAGAACTGGATCAACTGAAACAATTGTGAAAAAGAATAAAGGAGGAGTCAGTGTATTTGATCATAGATTTGCTGTCACTTTATAATCATTAAGATATTGTGACATTTGTGAGGAAGGAGACAAATAGATTAATGCCACAGATAGTCTAGAGATAAATCTACACAAATACAATTCAGTTGATCTTTAGCAAAGGTACAAAAACAATTCAGAAGGGAAAAGGCAGGCTTTCCAACAAATGGTTTTAGAACAATTGGACAACTATATGCAGAAAAAAAGATCCTTGACCTACTCTTACATCTTACATAAAAATTCACTCAAAATGGACCATAGAACCAAATGTCAAATTTAAAACTGTAAAATTGGCACATCCATTACAATGGAATATTATTTGGCCATAAAAAGGAACAAGGCACTGATACCTGTCATAGCATCAGTGAGCCTCAAAAACATTGTGCTCAGTGAAAGATGCCAGACACAAAAGGTCACATGTTATATGAAAGGTTTAGAATTGGCAGATTAGTGGTGGCCTGTGGCTGGGGCTTGTGGGTAAAATGGAAAGTGGCTGCTGATGGCTACACGGTTTCTTTTAGGGATGACAAAAATGTTCTGAATTGACTAGTGATGGTTGCACAGCTCTGTGAGTGCACTAAAAATTATCGGATCATACACTTTGAGTGGATGAATGACATGCTCTGAGTTTTATCTTCATGAAGCCAATAGGTCCAGTAACGCCTCCATACATACATACTGAAACATGCAAGTGTAGAGCATCCATATGTTTTTCTTTTCCCTCCCAGGCATCCACTCTTTCCATTATTAGCTTTGTTGTTTGAAAAATGTGAGCAATCCACACAGGGCTCAGAAGGCACAACTTCTGCCAGTTTTGACGTGGACATTGAAAATTTTGTAAGGAAGCAAGAGAAGGAAGGAAAGCCCTTCTTTTGTGAAGACCCTGAAACCGACAATTTAGTGAGTAAAATAAATATTTTATTTCTTCCAAATTTAAAATCTGGTCAATAAATTTTAAACTTCAAGTTAGAACTTTAGACCGTTTGTAGCTCTGCTAAAGGGGAGAATACTACACTTCATGAGACAGCTTGTTTGTGTGTGAGGCTTGAACGTCCTCTGGCCTCCTCCAGCTGCCCTCTCCCTCGGTGATTAAGCTGCTTTCAGCCTGCATCCCAAATGGACCAGAGGGTCCAGTCCTCTCCCAGCACTCGGACGGGTTCATTGGGGTTGGCGTGCTCACCTGCCTTGCTTCTCAGGCCGTGCGTCTGTGCCCTGCATCAGTCCTTGGCTTTCCCTTGATTGTGGACATGTGACTTCACTCAGACAGCTCTGTCTTGAGGCTCCCACTGGTTTGTGGTGGGTGACAGAATTCACGAAGAATTGGGGAGGCCCGCCAGCACAGAGCAGGGAGACGCTTAACAAAGGTCCCCAAGGCCCCTCACTACCTCCCATGGCCTTTCTGTCTGGAGCCAGACCGTCTCACATCCCTGCCCCCTCCCAGGTCCCATGCTCTAAAATGCAGGGTTCCCTGTGCTTTCTGAAGGAAAACAGAGAATTCTTTGGAGGCAACGTCACTGCTGCACCCGCGGGGAGGGGTGCCGGTCAGTACTGTGGGGCTCTGCCAGCGGTGTCCGGGGCCCGCACTGGACTCCTGTCCAAGCCTGCTCACTCCCAGACCAAAGCCTTCGTCGGGCCCGGGTCAGCAGAAAAGGGACCTCGGAAATCTTTTTCCTAAAAAAATTGTCCGGGTCTTAATTCTTGTTGTGTTTTAAGTTTCTTGTTCCATATTTAACCCTTATAACCTAATAGATTTTATGGGTGAGTTGTTTGACTTCGAGTCTGTCTCCTCATGTTGGAAATGGGGCTGACAGTGCCTGCCCTTCTGGGCTTAGTGCCAGAAGCTCTCTGTCACACAGCCAGCCATCAGCGTGTGGGGAGCAGGAGTGGCCCCGGTGGTCCCAGGCTGGCAGGGACCAAGGGTCTCCTGACTGGTGTGAGAGCACAGGGCGTCGAGGGCTTGGTGCTTGGTATTCCTCATTATTGACAGACTGACTGGTTCATTCCACAAATACTAGACATTACTATGCCAAGGTCATGGCCGAAGCAGCTGAGCTTTGGGGTGTGAATGCACAGGCAGGCGCTGCTTGTGCTAATGGTTTTATTATCATTGTTATAATTATTTACTGCTATAAGACACACTACCTTCAAAACTTAGTCAATTAATATAAAATCATGAAACTTAAAAAATCATAAGAGAACATTTTTAGGATCTAGGGCTAATCTAGGGATAGGCAAACAGTACTTAGACTTGACACCAAAAGCATGATCCAAAAATTTTATCAAGAACCACCTATGAGGGTCTCTGGATCCACCCTCCTTCATAGATGGAGTAACGGCGACAACCGAGAGTTGGCATCTTGCCCGAGGGGTTGGAGGCTGGGCTGAAGCTGGCCGGGGCCTGGCCGGTCCTGCTGCTGTGCTCGCCGAGGTGAGCACGGGCGTTGTGCACATCAGAGGGAGCCGAAATGCCAAACCGCATGTCAGCGGTGCTGGAAGGACTTGTCGTTCTGCACAGTATCTAATATCGTTCCACCTCTGTCACCGGCAGTACGGATGGCGATGGCCAAGCAGGGTTCAGGCCAGTAACCCAGAGTGATGTGTTATGTGGCGGTAATTATAACTTAACGTCATGCTACCTTTTCTTGTCTGAAAGTCTTCATTTTCTCTGCTTCTAGATGGTAAAAGCAATCCAGGTTTTGCGTATTCATCTTCTTGAGCTGGAAAAGGTTAATGAACTCTGCAAAGATTTCTGCAGTCGATACATTGCTTGTCTAAAAACGAAAATGAACAGTGAAACTCTCCTGAGTGGAGAACCTGGAAGCCCGTACTCCCCTGTCCAGTCCCAGGTATTTATTTTGGGGTCCTGCCCTACTTCCTGCTTGCTGTCACATCTGCAAGGATGAGCTGTGTCGGTCCCGAGACCACCAGCCCTATCAGCATTGTGAGGCTGTCCCAGTGGCTCTCCTGTTCAGAGGTCCTCCAGGTCCCCGACCCGAGCCTGGGCCGAGTGCAAATCACAGAGACAGCCCCTCTGGCCTCAGGCAGTGAGTGCGGTGAGGCCCCGATCTGTGTGCGGGACCCTGAGTGGTTCTGGAGCTCCATCCACTTCTTTGTTTCACAATGTATTTTTAAAATTGTGGGAATATACACATATCACACCATTTACCCTCCTAACCACGCTGAAGTGTGCATGCAGTGGTACTAAGCACATGCACATTGGAGTGCGGACATCTCCACTGTCCACTTTCAGAACTTCCCACCTTCCCAAACCGGAACTCCTCTAGGGACCTTGTGTAAGGGGAATCATTTGTCCTTTTGTATTTGGATTGTCTCACCAGGGGAGTGACCTCAGGGTGCCTGCGTACTGGAGCCAGGTGGTGGGCTGCAGTGCGTTCGTGCGGGTGTGGTGTGCGCCTCCCTGATGGCCGATGGTGGTGGTTGTCTCCTCGTGTACTTACTTCCCATCTGTGTGTCCTCTTCGGTGGAAGGTCTCCTCACATCTTTTGCCCACTTTCTAATCAGATTATTTTTAAACTGTTGACTTTTTAGGGTAGTCTAGGTACTAGTCCTTTATTGGATATACAGTTTGCAAGTATTTTTTCCTAGTCTGTAGCTTATTTTTCTGTATTGTTAACAGGGTCTTTGGCAGAGCAAGTATTTCCCCCCAGTTTTTATTTTATTTTATTTATTTATAATAATTTTTTAAAAAGATTTTATTTTTATCAAAGAGAGGAAAAGGGAGGGAGAGAGGGATAAGAACATCAGTGTGAGAGAGAAACATTGATCAACCGTCTCTCACCTGGGAACCTGGCTCACCACCCAGGCGTGTGCCCTGACCGGGAGTCTAACCAGTGGCCCTTCACTTTGCGGAATGATGCCCAACCCATTGAGCTGTGGTGGTCAGGGCTATTTATTTATTTTTAATTTTTATCTCCCAGCCACCCACCCCTCTCCCTTTTAGCAACCATCAGCTTGTTCCCTGTATCCGTGCATCTGTTTCTGTTTTTGTTGTTGTTATTCATTTGTCTTTTAGGTTATGCATGTGTTCGTCACGTTTTTACTCTCCCTAATACCCTCCAGGTCCATTCATGTCTCCGATGGCGGGATTTCTTTATTTTTATCGCTGACCGATATTCCATTGTATATATACACCACACCTTTTTTTATCTACTCATCTGTTGATGGATGCTTTGGTTGCTTCCATGTCTTGGCTACTGTAAATAATGCTGCAGTGAACATGGAGTGACTATATCTTTTTGAATCAGCATTGTTTTTTCATGGGCTAAATGCCCAGAAGTGAAGTTGCTGAATCATATGGCAGTTTTATCTTTGCCTTTTTGAGAGTCTCCGTACTGTTTTCCACAGTGGATGCTCCCATTTACATTCCCACCAACAGTGCTTGAGGGTTCCTTTGCTCCACATCCTCACCAGCACTTGTTTGTTGATTTACTGATGACAGCCATCTGACAGGTGTGAGGTGATATGTCATTGTGGTTTTAATTTGCATTTCCCTGGTGCTTAGTGATGTTGAGTATATTCTCATATGTCTGTTATCCATCTGTATGTCTTCTTTAGAAAAATGTCTACTCAGGTCCTCTGCCTGTATTTTAATCGGGTTGGGTTTTGTGTGTGTGTGTTAAGTTGTGTGAGTTCCTTATGTATTTTGGATATTAACCCCTTATCAGATGTAGCATTTGTGAATATCTTCTACTGTTTGATGGATTGTCTTTTTGTTTAGTTGAAGAAAACTCAGGTTTTCTTTCTGTGCAAAATCTTTTTAGTTTGATGTAGTCCCATTTGTTTCTTTTTCCCTTCAGGAGATACATCCACAAAGCTATTGCTAAGGTCAGGGTCTGAGAGCCCACTGCCTATCTTTTCTTCCAGGAGTTTTATGGTTTCAAGTCTTACATCTAAATCTTTAGTCCATTTTGAGATTGTTTTTGTAAAAGGTCTAAGTAAGCAGTCCAGTTGAAACTTTTTTGCATGTATCCAGTTTTTCCAAGTTTTTAAAGAGACTGCCTTTACCCTATTTTATATGCTTGCTTCCTTTGTCGTAGATTAATTGACTGTATAAGTGAGAATTTATTTCTGTACTTTTCAATATTTTTTAATATTGATAATTTCTATTTATCATCTTTTCTTTTTATTAGTTGTGATTTTGGTGTCAAGTCTAAGAACTTTTGCCTAGCCCTGTGTCCCAAAGATTTTCTCTTACTTTTTTCCTAAAAGTTTTATATTTTAGATTTAAATTTATGATTGGTTTTGAGTTAACTTTTGTATAAAGTGTGAGTGTTTGTCCAATTGCTCCAGTACCATGTGTTAAAAAGGTTCCTTCCTCCACTGAATCCTATACGCACCTTCGTCAGCAGTCAGTTGGGCATATTTACGGGGTAACTTCTCTCGCACTGGTCTGTGTATCGGTGCCATCCAGTCTCCAGCACTGTACGTTAAGTCTCAAAATCGGGTAGACCGAATCCTCTCACTTTATTCTTTTTCAAAATATCCTTTCTCAAAAAATTTTAGCTATTTCTAGTTCCTTTGCCTTTTCATATAAATTTTGAAATAATCTTGTCTGTATCTACAAAAAATAGTACTGGGATTTTGATAGGAATTGCATTAAATGTGTCCATCGTTCTGGGGAGAACTGACACCTTGGCCGCGTTCGCCCTTCCAGTGCACACGCACGGTGTGCCCCCCACTTGTTCACTCTCCTGCAGTTTCCTCCGCTAGTATTTTACAGTTTTCAGTGAGTCCCGCACATGCGTTTTTAGAATTACACCTATTTTATTTTTTCTAGCAATTATAAATGGTATTATATTTTTAAACTTCATTGTCCATGATATTTTATAGAAGTACAGTTGGTTTTTTAATATTTATCTTGTATTCTGTGGCCTTGCTGAGTTCACTTCTTAGTTCTAGGAGGTCCTTTATATAGATTCCTCAGGACTTCCTGACTGTTTAGTCATATCATCTACAAATAGGACGGTTCTATTTCTTCCTTTGCAATCTGTGTACTTTTCATTTTCCTTTTTTGCCTTATTGGCTAGAATAGGATTGGTGAAAGCTGGCATTGAATAGGATTGGTGAGAGCTAACGTCCTTTGCTTATTCCCAGTCTTCTAAGGAAAATGTTCACCTTTTCACTATTAATTTTAGTTTTAATGGTAGTTTTTTCCCCTAGATGCTCTTTATCAAGTTGCAAAAGTTCCCCTTTATTCCTATTTTTCTGAGAGTTTTTATTACATTGAATTTTGTCAAATGCATGGATTGATATGATTATGTGATTTTTTTCTTTTGCCTGTTAATATGGTAGAATACCAGGTTTTAAATGCCAAAAATGCCTTGGATTCCTGGAATAAACTATGCCTGGTCATAGCATGTAATTCTTTTTAAATGGATTCCTGAATTCTGTCTGATAATATTTTGTTAAGCATCTTTGTGTCTATATTGAGGCATACTGGTGTGTAGCTATCTTTTCTGGTACAGTCTTGGTCTAGGTTTGGTATCAGGAAGTACAAGCTTCAGAAAACAAGTTGGACAGTATTCCTTCCTTTTTTGATTTTTGGGAGGGATTAGAATTGGTATTAGTTGTTCTCTAAATGTTTGGTAGAATTCTCCAGGGACACCATCTGCACTGGAGATTTCTTTTTTTTTGAGGTTTTTAAACTATAAATGTAGTTTCCTTAATGGTTATAGGACTATCCAAATTACCTGCTTCAATAGGATTTTGCCTATGTCAAATTTCCATGTTGAGTTCAAGGTACTCCTCCTCCTCCTTTCTCCATCCGGCAGGTCTGCCGTGACCTCCCTGCTTCTGGTATCAGAAACTTGTTTATCCCTTTTTATCTGCCAGTGTTACTAGAGGTTTGTCAATGTGTCCATCTTATCAAAGAACTTGCTCTTTTCACTGTTCTTTTTCTCTTTTCCATTTCACTGTTGTCTGCTGCAGTCTTTGTTATTTCCTACCTTTTGCTTGCTTTGATGTTATTTGTTCCTTTTTTTTTTTAAGTTTTCGATGTGTGACCTCGGGTTATTGATTTGATGGCTTAGCTTTATTCTGACCACGTCAGTGTGGCCTACTTTGCATGTGCCTGCCCGGGCTTGCAGGGTACCTGCCTCTGGGGCACAGCCACTGTGCTGCTTGTCTGCTCAGATATCTGGGTGCCTGCGTGTGCCAGACCCTGGGCTAGATGCTGGGTGTGGGGATCCCTTCCCTTACCAACCACCAAGCCAGCCATCAGTCAGTAAGTAAATTCACCTGTTTGGCTCTAATGTCAGATGAGTAGACTCTCCAGTGTGGCGTTTACACCACATGTTTACGTGGAGTGTGCTGCAGGCCAGGCCCAGGACTCCACACGCATGCACACACAGAGGGGAGGGGTTCGGATGTGTGTGTACTGACATCAGCGGGGTACAGAGCTGTGTAAGCCCGGGGTGGCTCCCCATTTCCACTCAGAACCTCCCAAACCTGTGGCATACTCTTCTGAATGCGCTCATCTTGTCAAGGAGGCTTTGTCTTTCGGAAAATCAGGAGCCCGAGCCAAGTGGAGTGGAGAAGGCTGAGGTCAGGTGATCTCGGTGTCATAACCTGCAGGACTGTAAGGTGTGGCTGATCGTGATGAGGTGGGTGGAAGATAGTCTTTTGGAAGCCAGTCAAAACTAACATCTTAGTATTGACCATCACATCTGATGTTCGGTCAGTCTTGTCGTTGCCCCTGGTTTCCAGATGCCTAGAGCCTGCCTCAGAGAAAGCTTGCCCGCTGACTGTGGTCTTTCTCAAGAGTCTCCTTTGGCAGTGATGCCATTATGCCACTTGTTTGGAACTTTTCAGTCTGGGTGTTCTGTTTCCTGATAGCCGTCCCTTGTGTGTTTCTGACTTACAGCAGATTCAAAGTGCCATCACGGGCACTCTCAGCCCCCAAGGAATCGTGGTGCCTGCATCTGCGCTGCAGCAGGGGAACGTAACCATGGCAACAGTGGCAGGTATGGCGATGGATGGAGGGACACCTTTCCCTGAGTTGTGCAGAAAAACTCCTTCAGAGTAGAATGGAGATATACATAAATATAACTTTTAATTAATGCCAGTTCCCTAATAGGACTCCCAAAATCTAGACCTCTTTGAATGCTTGTTTCTTGTTAATTCTCAATGACAAATACTTCGTACATATTGTCATATTGTCTTTTCCTACCAAAAAATGTTAGGAAGAAAGGTTTTATATAGGAGTTGAAAGTTTATAGCAAAAACCAATTGTAATTTTCAAATAATGATTTTTAACTATTCTCTTAGAAGCACCTGGGAGATATTAAATTGGTCATTAATGGATGACAAGCAAGGACAAATGCATGTTAGTCTTGGTTTAACCTGTATAATAAAACCATCACGAGAGGGGGACAGATTCCTGAATTCTCTGGTGCACCTGGAACATTGCAAACACAAGGCCATCGTGAAAATAGGAGGAGGGGGGAAATTTACACCGAAAAAGTTCATGTCATAGCACAAAGGGAAGCCTCAACAGGAAAATAAAGCACACTTGATCAGAAAGAGAACTACAATAGAAATCTTTGTCCTCTGATACCTCTGGCCAGGTCCTTTGGTATGTGCTAATGGTGGGGACAAGGAGGACATGCAGGTGAGCACGAGGCGTGGAAGTGCCGGCCCTGAGCTGGCCACGCCCTGTGCGCCATCTGTGAGGGCTGCAGGGGTGTCCATCGGCACGGTGCCACCTGGGCACTGCGTGTGCTGTGAGTTTGTTTGGTAATGTACAGTGACAGGTTGGCTGGCAAAGTATGGATCATTGAAATGATGTAAAAAGCCCATCAGCCCTGGCCAGTGTCGCTCAGTTGGTTGGAGCATCATCGCATAACCAAAACGTTGCAGGTTCGATTCCCAGTCAGGGCACATAACTAGGCTTCAGGTTCCATCCCCAGTCCAGGTGTGTGTGGGAGGCAACCTGTCGATGCTTCTCTCTTATATCGATGTTTGTCTCTCTTTCTCTGTCCCTTCCTCTCTCTGAAAACAATGGGGAAAAAATGGATGAGGATAAAAAAAAGTTCGTCAAACCAGAGATTGTATTCATTTCATAATATAGTGAGAAGACTGGTTTTAAATTGTTGAGACCTAAATGGAATTTTTTTCTTCTTCCTTTTTGAGGCGGCACGGTTTATCAGCCTGTCACAGTTGTCACTCCACAAGGCCAAGTAGTGACGCAGGCATTGTCACCAGGGACGATCAGGATCCAGAACTCCCAGGTCCGTGTGCCTTCCCTCTGGCGGGATGGGGGTGGGGGTGCCCCGGGCGTAGAGGTGCGGGCCGTTCCCTCAGCGTCAAAGCACTGACCCGACTCGCTGTCACGCAGCGACCTCGTTAACCCGAAGGTAGTGTTCTGTTTCTTTTTCACTCTTCATCTCGCTGACTGTGAAAAAGTCACCAAGTTCAGAAAAGTCTAAGGAGGCAGGAAAAAAGTCACCCATTACCCTTCCCCTCCAGCAGTCCGTGTTGTCCAGTCGTGCACTTGACTCTGAGCCAGGAGACCTGAGGCCACGGCGCCACACCGCCCTCCACCCCCAGGTCACAGCAGATCCTCAGGCAGATTTTCACTGCTTGTGGGGGGCGGGTGGGCCGAGGCGGCGTTAACTAGAGCAGCGGGCAGAGAGAAGATGCGGTGGACAGAGCCGCGACCAGCTGGCTGGCACCTCCACTGTGAGAGCGTGGGCTGGGCCGTGGCCTGTGCACTCTGAAAAGCTCTCCACAGCCTTCCTGGTTGCTCCTGCTGAGCTGGAGCAGGGTTCAGGGTGCCTGGGGCACTTGCTTAATGCCCCCCACACCTTGGGGAGAAACCCGAGAGAGGGCTCCCCCTTGCCCTCTCCTCGCTGCCCCCTGGGGACCCTGCTTCAAGAAGGCTGGTCTGCTGCCACCTGCCCCACCTCTCCCCCCACGGCCCACCAGCTCCCAGAGCACCAGCAGCTTCGAGGGCAGCAGCGGCAGAGCTGAAAATGCAGTGGCACGCTGCAGCCTTAGGATGGCCCCGTCCTCTCTGAGTCTTTGGTGAAATGTGATTGGCCCTGGCAGTCTCCCGGACCCCTCTGAGTTTTGGACATGCACACACTTTCGCATTTAGCTGGATTGAAGTCAGAAGGACACTGTTCCTGTTCCCTGATCTCAGTCAGCAGCACCAATTCCTCCTGCATGTCACTGCCTTGCCTTTCGCCTGCACACGTTTTCTGCATCTCTGAGGACCCGCCTTGGGCCTCTGGGTGTGTGCTTTTCCCCCAGCCAGTCACTGTTTGGTTTTCCCCTTTGCTTGGTGTCCCTGGTACTGATGGCCAAACCCTCCAGTCCAGTATTCTTGGTGATGCCCCATGCACCAGCCTGCGTCACATGTCAGGGCCAGTCTCGTCCCAGAGCTCTTGGCCCTCTTGGTCTCCCATGTGCAGGCTGCTCTCTGCCCAGGCCTCGCATAGGGATATCCTTGGACTTCCCTTTGACATCCCCCTGAGGACAGCCATCTGTTGGAGCCCCCATTTGCTGCTTTCTTGGCCTGAGAAGTACATAGTGTCGAGAATTGATTTTGGTCCCGTACTTGGTAGGCTGTCTGTGTGCACGTGCAGCTCCAGGTGAGGCGCACTTCCACCGTGGCAGGGTAGTGTCCATCCATGGTTACCATGGTGACACCATCTCTGTAGGCGCACCAGGAGCGACAGGCTGCGTCTGGGCAGTGTGCCGTGGTCTGGTGGGGCCTGTAACACCGTCTTTTCTAGGTTTGCATGAAACACTTACGTAGGGCGTGTTGTGCATGTCCCCTCCTGTCAAAATGGAACTATGGAAAGCGTTCCTTGGTTTTCTCGGGTGAGGGAAGTGTGGTTCCCAGTGGCTGCCGAGGCCTCTGCAGAGGCCGGCTCCTCAGCCTTCACTCTGTTGCTGCTGTTCCTTCCCTGCTGTTCAGCTGGCGTGGCCTTCTCTAGCTGGGGTTTTTTTCAGCTCCCCTCTCCGTTCTCTGGTGGCTGCTTGAAATGTCTTTGAGGCTGGAAACTCGGATGTTATCACGTCCATTCCTAGAGAAAGCAAGATGGTAAATGAGAGACACTCACCTGTCTGCAGGTGAACGACTCAGGGGCCTTCTTAGCATCCGCCCCATCTGCCTCACCGGACCAGGCCTCTGCCCAGCCGAGACCCTGTGGTGAAGGTGGTTACAAGGTAGAGGGAGCCAAAGCCCAGGGTCGACGTATGCATATCTGCTGTCAACGAGGTGTTTCTTGCCAAGATCCGCGGTTCTTTTCTTCACTAGAAGTCGTGAACCACTTGGACGTGTTGTAATTTTCTGTGCTTTCTAACATCAGCTTTCCATTGTTTAAAAGCTTCAGCTGCAGTTAAACCAAGACATGAGCATCTTGCATCAAGACGACGGCTCCTCCAAGAACAAGAGGGGCGTCCTGCCGAAGCACGCCACCAGCGTGATGCGGTCCTGGCTCTTCCAGCACATAGGGGTGAGAGTGCGGCGGCCTCGGGTCGGCGGCACCCTCCGCCAGGCTTGCTTTCTGGCTCTTCTAGAAAAAAGTGGCTTGTGTATGCTAGTAGGCCTGGCTTGCACTGCCTGTGTTTTGTTAACTGTCCATGTGGGTTGAGTGTGGGGCAGAAGGGAGGGTTACCAGAAAATGGAGGACATCACTTCAAGGCACTTAAATGAAACGAGGGGACCCCTGGTGAAGAGGCAGTCAGTTCAGCTCATACCAGTCTTACCCGTGCTTGTGGGGGAAGCTGCTCGTGGAGGGCGAGTGGGGCGGGGCGGGTCAACCAGAGCAGCGGACAGACAGAAGGTGCGTGTGGACGGAACCTGGAACACAGCAATGGCGCCTGTATTGGAGTTTTGAGGAAAATGTGCTGAAAGACCCCCAGACAGCGCTCGAGGGAGTGGGGCGCCTGGACAGAGGCTGTGGAACGTGAGCGGCAGTCGGGCCGGGAGGGGGCACCACTCACTCCACATCTGTCTGAGCATCTGGTTCCCCACTCCCAGGGAGGTGGCCACGTCTTCTCTGCGGAGTTGCCTTGGGAAGCACACACTTGTCCATGATTTAATGGGACAGTCACTCTTTACCAGGCTGAGCCCCTCAGTCCTCGAACCCCTGACCCCCGGGCAGGCCTGTGACCAGAGCAGCTTTCGGGGTCAGACTCCCAGGGTAGCGGCCAGGGTCAGGACCAACCGGGACGGCTGTCAGGGGAGTGGATGGGAACAGAGGCAGGAAGGCGGATGCTCCCTGCTGAGTTACCGCTGTGCTTGGGGCGGGGGCTTGTGGGGGCACAGGAGGGACAGGGGCAGCAGGGGAGAAATCCGACAGGAGGCTGCCTTGCAGCCTCGCGAACCAGCTCTCAGCCAGGCACTTCCACCCGCGTCTCACTTTTCTCCAAGTGCAGTGGCATCTGTTCCTTCAGCAGTGATGGCCCCTGGCTGTCCCTGAGAGCCGGGCTGGCACCAGACCCGGCGCTTCACTTGGCCGCTGTCATAGCCTGCTCGCGTCTTCAGCTGCTGGCCGCTTCCTCACCCGCATCTCTTTTATCTCCGCCCTGGTGCCGTTGGTGTCAGCGGAGGTGTCATCAGACCCATGTCTACCTGTGCCCGTCCTCTGCCCTCACCCTGTCACCCACCCACCTCTCTCCACTGTGTGGGGCCCCGACTGTGAGCCCCAAGGCCTGCACCTGGTCTTAGTCACCTCGTCTCCCTCTGGGTTTGTCCCTTGTCCCGTCATGCCCCACTATCCTCTAACTGGCATTGGGCTCCTTCCCTGCAAGGCACGGGCCTGATGGCTGTGATGTCACTGAGCAGTCCTGGGGGAGAAGGGGACCCTCCCTTCCTGAGGTGAAGACTCTGGGGGCTCCGAGCTCCCCCCTAAGCGCTAAGCCCCAGCTGCCCTCCTCTCTGGTGTCTGTTCTCTGTCAGACCATTCCCACCGGCAGGACATGGCAGTGGGTGTCAGGAGAAGGGACAGTGTGACCCTGTCTAGAAATTTGTCCTACAAAGATTCTCAAGAAAATGAAAGGTTTTATGGAGTAAGTGGTACAATGATGTTCATTATCCTAATGGGACATGGGACGTGAATTAGAACCCACCCACCTGACAGAGTATTATCCAGCCAGTTAGCATGATAAACAGGCACTAGGAGGCTTCAGGCGGATGGTGGTAAGTGAAAGAGAAGATGTTTGTAAGTATGTTGTGAGTCTGGCAACCAGTAAATGTAGGCGCGATGTAACGTTAGAAGGTACACAAGGAAGTGGTGGGATTGGTTTTCTGGCTCAGTTTCCTTTAACGTTTTAATAATTTCTAAAACAATAACCCTCCTCATCAGTTCGATTAAAATGCCACTTTTTTCTCCTGAGAAGCCATACACTTGTCCCTAGAGTCAAACTGAGTCACTACCGGTCAGGTTGAGGGAGCAGAGAGTCTGCTGCTGAGGTCCTCCTGATGCTGTTCCATCGTCACCCTCAGGCACAGTGACTTTTCCAACATCCTGGGTGCTCACTGAAAGTAAAAGCTAACACCCACCTCCTGCTTCTTTGGTACCATCCACTTTCTGGGGCCCCGGTTGGTGTGAAGTAGGTTCCGTGCACATAGGTGTTACGGTGAACGTCTTACTGGCTCTTGCACGTGGACAGTGCTCAGTCTTGGCGAAGTTGTTCATTGCCATAAATGGAAATGATTTCTCTTTGGTGCTTCTGTGAATTTTCAGAGTTATGTCTGTTTTAATTCTTTTTTTTTAAGTGAAATGTTTTAATAATACATAAAAGAAAGGACACTAACAGATGCCCCCACCCCGTTTGGGTTCTTTATCAGCAGCACATGTGAGCCCAGCAGAGGTTGTTCCTGAAAAACCGTGGAGCATGGCAGTGCAACCCATGGCGGTCTCTCCTCCAGGTCCCCATGTAGAGACCTGCGACCGGAAGTGACCGCGTGGAGTAGCCCACCTGGCCCCTTTCCCGCTGCCCTGTGGAGCCAGCTGGAGCATGGGGGGAGTTTGTAAACTGCCTGCACCTCGGCTTCCTCCTCTGTGAAGTTAGGGGTGCGTGGCTCAGGGGTGCTGGTGAGGAACCAGTGAACTGCTTCAGGATGTGCAGAGGTGATGGAGGCATGCTGTGCCCGCTGTGCCCAATGTTTCATGAGGCCAAACCCACCTTTACCCACTTTAAATGGGTGCTGTTTATGGTTCGTAAGTTATTCCTCAGTCAAGTGGATGCAAAAGCAGTAGATGTATCACGGTCTTAGGACAGCACCTGGGGTGACAGGCAGGACTTGGCGGTGTCAGCATAGCTATCTTGGGGCCTTAGGCTGTAACCAGCTGTTGCCGTACCAGGGTGCTCCTGGACAGCCAGGAGAAATACTTTGTTCTGTTTGGATGCTACTGAAAAAACTGTGAGAGTAAAGTTAGGTTTTCACTGAAAGCAGTATTGACTGATACTTGTCAGTTATTTAAAAATGGTTATTTGTATGCTGCTACTTTACCTAGAAAATCCTGAGTTCCCCTTTAAAAACTGAAGTTCACGGTAACCCCTCTTTTTGCTTTAGCATCCCTACCCAACAGAAGACGAGAAAAAACAGATCGCTGCTCAGACAAATCTGACATTGCTCCAAGTCAACAACTGGTAAGACCCACTGCCCCCGACCTGCGCCCGTCAGTGCCATAGAGCGCTCAGAAACACTGGTGCTTATGACCAGTAGCATTTGGTTGGAAAGCAGCTTTCTTTTCACGAGCAGTACTCTGTTACCTGAGCGCTGGGATCCGTGGCAGACACTTAAGAATGAATCAGCATATACCTTGACTTACATTTTTCATGATCAACACCTCACTGTGAGCTTTTTGCTTACATCCTACCTGCCCGACTAGAAATGTGTCTCTATTGTGTTACTGTCAACAAGTCCCCCCATTCATTCAGAGATGCAGTGTTTTCATCACCAAGCTTCCGGGCAGTGGACAGCCAGGATGAGACATCTGACCTCAGGGAGCCCCTCTGCAGCTCTTCTACCTTTCCAACCCTCCTGTCTCTTTGTTGGCTGTGACTGGGGGAGGCAGCTGCCCCACCATCTGTGTGGCGGTCCTGCCCCACAGTGGGTCCTGGGGGTGTCAAGGGAGAGATGCCCAGGATGACAATTACTTTGTTAATGAGCCATCCTACTCTGGTCCTGGGTCACATGTGGCTGGGGACACCTGCACCCTGTCCTTGTGTTCTTCCTTCAGTGAGAGCTGTCCATGTTACTAAGTGGCACCAAGGTCTGGGTGCTCTCAGGTTTTGTCAGCCCTTCGTCTCAGGTTTATTTACTTATTATTCAGACATGGAAAGTGATTTCAGCTTATGAAGTTGACAGGCGGAAAAGAAAAAAAGCACAAATTCTAACACTTGTACACATGGTTATATTCTTTTTTAAAATATATTTTACTGATTATGCCATTACAGTTGTCCTATTTCCCCCTTCATTCCCCTCCACCCTGCACACCCCCTCCTCCGCCATTCCACCCCCTTTAGTTTATGTCCATGTGTCACAAGTTCTTTAGATTCTATATTTCCTACACTATTCTTGCCCTTCCTCCTATTTTCTACCTACCATCTATGCTACTTATTCACTGTACCTTCTCCCCCTTCTCCTCCCACTCCCCTGTTGCCAATCCCCCATGTGATCTCCATTACTGTGGTTCTACTCCTGATCTAGCTGTCCTCTTAGTTTGCTTTTGTTTTAGGTGTGGTACTTAATAACTGTGAGTTTGCTGTCCTTTCACTGTTCATCTTTTTTATTTTCTTTTTCTTAGATAAGTCCCTTTAACATTTCATATAATAAGGGCTTGGTGATGATTAACTCCTTGAATTTGATCTTATCTAAGAAGCACTTTATCTGCCCTTCCATTCTAAATGAAAGCTTTGTTGGATAGAGCAATCTTGGATGTAGGTCTTTGGATTTCATGACTTGGAATACTTCTTTCCAGCCCCTTCTTGCCTGTAAGGTCTCTTTTGAGAAATCCACTGACAGTCTGATAGGAACTCCTTTGTAGGTGACTGTCTCCTTAATCTCTTGCTGCTTCTAGGATTCTCTCCTTCATTTTAATCTTGGCTAATGTAATTATGATGTGCCTTGGCGTGTTCCTCCTTGGGTCCAACTTCTTTGGGACTCTGAGCTTCCTGGATTTCCTGGAAGTCTATTTCCTTTGCCAGAGTGGGGAAGTTCTCCTTTATTATTTGTTCAAATAAGTTTTCCACTTGTTGCTCTTCCTCTTCCCCCTTCTGGTACCCCTATAATTCAGATGTTGGAACGTTTAAAGATGTACTGGAGGTTCCTAAGCCTCTCCTCATTTTTTTGAATTCTTGTTTCTTCATACTTTTCTGGTTGGTCATTTTTTTCCTCTTTCTGGTCCAGTCCTTTGATTTGAGTCCCAGTTTCCTTTCCATCACTATTGGTTTCCTGTGCATTTCCGTTCATTTCAATTAGTTTAGCCTTCATATGTTCCTCTAATTTGTGACTAAAATCAACCAGTTCTGTGAGCATCCTGATCACCAGTGTTTTGAACTGTGCATCTGATAGGTTGGCTGTTTCTTGGTCACTTAGAGTTATTGGCTCTGGGGCTTTGAGTTCTTCTTGAGCCATAATGTTTTGGTCTGTTTGTTCCTGTTACACATATGAGGGGCAGAGTCCTAGGTGTTTACCAGGGCGGGGCAACTCAGTCGCTGGGTTGTGACGCTGTATATGGGGACGGGGTCAGAGAGGGTCAGTGGGGGTCCCCTCTGCTGCTTCCCACCGCTGGGGCCTGCGCGGTCTGTCTCACTGCTACCTCCTTTGCTGGTTTATCTGTGCGAGAATGTGTGACCACAGTCAGTCTGCCGCCTTGTGCCCCCACTGGGTCCACCCATAGCTACCCCACTCGGGATCTGCCCACAGCTGTCTGCGTACCTGGGTCGGTCTGGTGGATTTTTCCTGCCCAACCCGCTCTACTGCTGGCTCTGCCCCTCTTCCCGTTCTGGCTGAACGGTTCATTGTTGTCAGACTTCCATATAGTTCAATTTTCTGTGTTTTGGCTGCGTTTTTGTTACTAAAACTTTGTTGTCTTTAAACTTGGTTGTGTGAGGAGGCACAGTGTTTCCACCTATGCCTCCATCTTGGCTGGAAGTTGGTTGTATTCTCATTTTAACTGTAAAACTTAAACTTGAAGGTCAATTAAGTTCCAATATAATGATAAAATCTTCTAATTTTTGCAGTTAAATATGAAGAAGGTATGTTTCTGCATTGCATTAAATATTTCTATTTGGCATTTGAGCCATTATATTTTTAGGGGAGTAGCATAAATAACTATAGCATATGGACTGTTTCTTATTGAATATCTTAGAGTACTGACGGAAATCTAAAGGTTTCAAGTGTATTGTTGCTTGATGTTTGTAATGTCTTGTAAGTACTCGGTTGTTTTCATACAGCCTGTGTCAAAACTTCCTGTTTTGATTTAGTCATGACAGTGATTGGCTAAGATGAACGGCAGACACAGAATTCCTTCTCTGAATTTCTGATGCCTGGTTACTGTTCAGTCCTCTCCTTACTTTCCCTTGTTTACTGATGTCCTCGTGTTCCCCAACTGGCTACTCTGTGGTGTTCAGAGAATTGTCTTATCTAAAAGGTTTAACACCAACTTTTAATTTTTAAAAATACTAACAGTGTAATGACATGACTTTTATACATTAAAAGTGTTTTTAAATCTTTTAATAGTTATAGGTACTTTTTGTGACTTTTTCTTTACTTCTTTTATATTTACAAAAATTACATCATGGACTGAGATTAAACATGCCCATGATTGGCTAAAGAAGCAGGTCCTGGAAAGTAGCAGCGGGCTTCCCTCCAAGGCGCCGCCGGCGTCGGGGACAGCAGGGCTGCCGTGAGGTGGTCTCATCCAGGCCACGCTTGTGCTGCGGGGACCGGAAATGGCGCCGAGCAAAGCTCTGTGGAGTCAGTCTATCATTTGCATGATCAGATGTGTCCAAATGCAGGTTGACATGTTCCTGAGGCTTCGGGTTTATTTTGTTTTTTCCAATCCTCACTCGAGGACATGCTCCTTGGTTTTAGAGAGGGAAATATCGGTGTAAGAGAGAAACGTTGATCAGTTGCCTTCCACACGCGCCCTGACCAAGGGTCGAACCCACAACCTACATACTTGTTCGGACTGGGAACCAGACCCGCAGTCTTTCAGTTTGTGGGCTGCCGTTCCAGCCAACTGAGCCACTCGGCCAAGGCAGATCTCAGGGCTTTAAAATTAGCCTTGGCTCCTGTGGCTGGGCGGATCGAATGCCAGCCTATGAACTGAGAGGCTGCCAGTTTGATTCCCAGTCAGGGCACTTGCCTGGGTCATGGGCCAGGTCCCTAGTTGGGGGCGAGCAAGAAACAGCCGATCTGTGTATCTCTCACACATTGATATTTCTCTCCCTCCCTTTCCCTTGCTCTAAAAGTAAATAAATAAAATCTTAAAAAAATAAAATTAAGCAACCTCAGGACTTCTTGGTCAAGATGGAGGTGTAGGTAAACACAGCTTGTTGCCTTGCACAACCACAGCAAAATTACAACTAAAACATAGAACACTCAGAACCATCAGGAAATCGAGCTATAGGGAAGTCCGACAACTAAAGAAATAAACCACGTTCATCCAGACAGGCAGGAGGGACAGAGGGGCAGAGACAAGGAGACCAGGAAGGGGCTGGTCCCAAACCCACGTGTGGTGGGTATAAGAGGAAGGGGTATCTCAGAGGGAGTGAGGGATCTTGCCCTCACACCAGACCAGTCAGCCCAGGGTTCCGGTGCCAGGAAGATAAGTCCCCATAACTTCTGGCTGCGAAAACCAATGAGGGTTGGGTCAGTGGAAGAAACTGCAGGATTCTCAGGCCTCTCCTCTTAAAGGACATCGCACCACACACTCATTTACTCAGACTCACTCCCTCTGGGCTTCAGCACCAGCGTGTACAGGGAAGAACCAAAGTGTCTGGCATCGGGGCGAGAGCTGGAGGACAGCTTCCTCCCAGACCTGCAGACAGCGGCCATTATACCTCTTCTGAGCCCTCCCTCATACAGAGCCACAGTGTAGTGACACCATATCTGAGTCTCCATCAACCCGGCTCACATGGTAAGCCCCACCTGGTGATTACCTAAGGGTCTGCCCCATCCAACTTACAGGCCCACCCAAACAATCTTCCCACCCTGGCAACAGAGGCTTTCCACAGGAAGGGCTGGGCTGGGCGCAGACTTCAGACCTTTCTCAATCCACCCAAGCAACAGCTGAGCCCAACCCCCGTACCTCTCGCTGAGTGGCCCTAGGCCGAGCACCAGCAGCAGCCATCTGCAGACCGTTTTATAGCTTATGCCAAGGGGCCCCAGAACTCGGTGGAAGCTGACCGTGGCCTGCACCACCCAGGAGACCCCAGAGCCTGTGCACCCAATGGACAGTTACAGACCACGTTGGAGCACCACGCAGCTACCTCCACAGGCCACAGAGGAAGGTGGTTGCTAGCCAGGGGTCACAGCCAGTCCTACCAGCTGTCAAGGGGTAAATACCTCCCACTGACTTGGTGATGGCAATCAAGACTCATCTACCAGGGAAGGAGTATTCAGCGCACATGGAGGGTGCACCTTGAGTGCCCAGCTTGGTTGATAGGGAGGCTGTACCACCGGGCCCTTCAGACACCTACTGCATTAGGCCACACTACCAAGACATGGAGTCAAGGCAGCTGTACCTAACACACAGAAACAAACACAGGGAGGCTGCAAAAAGGAGGAGAGAGAGAAATATGGCCCAAATGAAAGGAGAGAACACAACTCCAGAAAATGGACATAAGCAATCTATCAGATGCAGAGTTCAAAACACTGTTTATAAGGATTCTCAAGAAACTCAGTGGGGACTTCCACCAAGATGGAGGCATAGGTGGAAATGCCGTGCTTTCTCACAGAGCCAAGTTTAGAGACAACAAAATATTAGCAACAGAAAACACAGCCAAAACACAGAAAATTGAGCTTTTTGGAAGTCTGATAACAATGAATTCTTCAGCCTGACTGGTAAGAGGGGCGAAGCCAGCAGCTGGTGGAGCGGGGTTGCACAAGAAAACTCAGTCAGATGGACTCAGGTGTGCGGGTCCCAGGCGTGGGATTGTAATGGGCGTATCCTGTGAGCGACAGGTGGACGCAGTGAGGGCGCGGTGGGGGGGGGGGCAGGTTGACTGTGGTCACACATTTATGCGCAGATAGACCAGCGAAGGAGTGAGCAGTGAAATGGGACTGAGCAGGCCCCAGCAGCAGGGAGCAGTACAGGGAGCCGCCATTTCCCTGCTCTGATCCCGCCCCCACACACAGCGTCACAACCCAGCAACCTGGGTAGTCCCGCCCTGGTGAAAACCTAACACTCCGCTCCTCATACTTAACGGGCGTGAACAGACCAAAATGGCTCAAGAAGATCTCAAAGCCCCGAGCCCATAACTCTAAGCGACAAAGAAATAGCAAAACTTTCAGATGCACAGTTCAAAACACTGGTGATCAGGATGCTCACAGAACTGGTTGATTTTAGTCACAAATTAGAGGAACATATGAAGGCTAAACTAATTGAAATGAATGGAAATGCACAGGAAACCAATAGTAATGGAAAGGAAACTGGGACTCAAATCAAGGGAGTAAACCAGAAGGAAGGAAAAAAATGACCAAACAGGAAAATATGAAGAAACAAGAATTCAAAAAAATGAGGAGAGACTTAGGAACCTCCAGGATATCTTTAAACGCTCCAACATCCAAATTATTGGGGTACCAGAAGGGGGAAAGGAGCAGCCACCAGTGGGAAATTCATTTGAATAAATAATAAAGGAGAACTTCCCCACTCTGGCAAAGGAAATAGACTTCCAGGAAATCCAGGAAGCTCAGAGTCCCAAAGAAGTTGGACCCAAGAAGGAACACGCCAAGGCACATCATAATTACATTAGCCAAGATTAAAATGAAGGAGAGAATCCTAGAAGCAGCAAGAGATAAGGGGACAGTCACCTACAAAGGAGTTCCTATCAGACTGTCAGTGGATTTCTCAAAAGAGACCTTACAGGCAAGAAGGGGCTGGAAAGAAGTATTCCAAGTCATGAAATCCAAAGACCTTCAACCAAGATTACTCTGTCCAACAAAGCTTTCATTTAGAATGGAAGGGCAGATAAAGTGCTTCTAAGATAAGATCAAATTCAAGGAGTTAATCATCACCAAGCCCTTATTATATGAAATGTTAAAGGGACTTACCTAAGAAAAAGAAAATAAAAAAGATGAACAGTGAAAGGACAGCAAACTCACAGTTATTAAGTACCACACCTAAAACAAAAGCAAACTAAGAGGACAGCTAGATCAGGAGTAGAACCACAGTAATGGAGATCACATGGGGGGTTAGCAACGGGAGTGGGAGAAGGAGAAGGGGGAGAAGGTACAGAGAATAAGTAGCATAGACAGTAGGTAGGAAATAGATAGGATGGGGCAAGAATAGTATGGGAAATGTAGAATCTAAAGCACTTGAGACATGTGGTCATAAACTAAAGGGGGTGGAATGGTGGGGGTAGGGGGTGTGCAGGGTGGAGGGGAATGAAGGGGGAAATAGGACAAAACTGTAATGGCATAATCAGTAAAATCAAATAAAATTTAAAAAAAAAAAGAAACTCAGTGGGTACTTCAGTAGCATAAAAAAGACCTAGGTAGAAATGAAGGAGATACTAACAGAAATAAAGAACAATTTATAGGGAATTAACAGCAGAGTGGATGAAGCCAGGAATCAAGTCAATGTTTTGGAACATAAGGAAGAAAAAGACATCTAATTATTACAGCAAGAAGAAAGAAGAGTCCAAAAATGGAGGATAGTGTAAGGAGCCTCTAGGACATCTTCAAACGTTCCAACATTCATATCATAGGGGTGCCAGAAGGAGAAGAGAAAGAGCAAGAAATTGGAAATCTATTTGAAAAAATAATAAAAGGAAACTTTCCTAATTTAGTGAAGGAAACAGACATGCAAGTCCAGGAAGCACAGAGAGTCCCCAAACAAGATGGATGCAAAGAAGCCCCCTCCAAAACACATAATTAAAATGCCAAAGGTTAAAAATAGAGAATCTTAAAAGCAACAAGTGAAAAGCAGTTATCTACAGGGGAGTTCCCATAAGACTGTGAGCTGATTTCTCAAAAAGAACTTTGCAGGCTAGAAGGGATTGGCAAGCAGTATTCAAAGTCATGAAAAATAGGAACCTCCAGCCAAGATTACTCTACCCAGCAAAGCTGTCATTTAGAATGGAAGGGCAGATAAAGTGCTCCCTAGAGAAGGTAAAGATAAAGGAGTTCATCATTACCAAGGCCTTATTATATGAAATGTTAAAGGGGCTTAAGAAAAAGAAGATCAAAAGTATGAACAATAAAATGGCAAAAATACCTATCTGTCAACAGTTGAATCTAAAAAACTAAGCAAACAAGAAGAACAGAGGCAAAATCGTGGACACAGAGAGCATTTTGATGGTTGCCAGATGGGAGGGGTGTGGGGGAGTAGGTAAAGATGTGAGGGGATAGAGAAGCACCAACAGGTAGTTACAGAATAGCCATGGGAATGTAAAGTACAGTATAGGAAATGGAGTAGCCAAAGAACCTATGTGTGTGACCCGTGGACATGAACGCGGTGTGGGAATTGCCTGAGGAAGTGGGGGTGTGGTGCTGGGTGGAAGGGGACAAAGAAGGAAAAATCAAAAGAACCGTAATAGTGTGATCAGTGAAATATGATATTAAAAAATGAGAACCAGCTCATCACTTGGAAATGCCTTTTGAAAAGCTCAGAGATCAAGGCTGGAGTCAGCCCTGAAGGCTCAGGCTCATCCCCACTCTGCACCTCGCAGGGCAAGGCAGGCAGGTAGCAACAGACGGCCTCAGGCTTTAGGGGACACAGCTTTGCTGCTTTGACCTGCGTCTCCCCTAGAGAAAACAATGTCATGTCACATTCATAGCCTGGGCAGTGTCATTGGGGTCACAATGAATATCCAATTTGCAAATGCAGGCTAAGTCAGTTACACTAAAAAAAGGGTGACATGGAGGAGTTAGTCTTGATTCCAATGAGTTATTTTGAAAACCTCATGCCCTGTTTTTTTTTTTGACACTTAGATAATATGCTTGTCACTGTCCTAAATGCCTGTTGTGAAAGAGAAGAGTTATTCTGATTGTTTTCGTGTTGTTTTTATTTTTTTTAATATTTTATTTATTTATTTATTTATTTATTTATTTATTTATTTATTTATTTATTTATTTGTTAATTTTCAGAGAATGGGGAAGGGAGAGAGAAAGAGAGGGAGAGAAACATCAATGGGTGGTTGCCTTTCATGTGCCCCCAACTGGGGACCCGGCCTGCAACCCAGGCATGTGCCCTGACCGGGAATTGAACCTGCCTCCATTTGGTTCACAGACCCAGCACTTAATTCACTGAACCACACCAGCCAGGGCTCATGTTGTTTTAAAAGTAGCTCATTTACTGGAAGGACTTTGTTGCTCTTCTGGGGGTCTTTAAAAAGGCTGTTTTTTCCCTGGCTGGTGTAGCTCAGTGGGTGGAGCGCAGGCTGCGAACCAGGGGGTCGCCAGTTTGATTCCCAGTCAGGGCACATGCCTGTGTTGTAAGCCAACTCCCCAGTGGGGGCCAGGTGAGAGGCAACCACACATTGATGTTTCTCTCTCTTTCTCCTTCCCTTCCCCTCTCTCTAAAAAAATTAAATAAAATCTTTAAAAATAATAAAAATAAATAGGCCGTTTTGATGAAAGTTCTTCCTTTGTTGACCTCAATGCTCAGGTTCATCAATGCTAGAAGACGAATTCTGCAGCCAATGCTGGATTCTAGTTGTTCAGAAACCCCCAAAACAAAGAAGAAAACTGCTCAGAACAGACCAGTTCAGCGGTTTTGGCCCGACTCCATTGCGTCAGGAGTCGCCCAGCCGCCACCCAGCGAGCTCGCCATGTCGGAAGGTACGGGGCCCAGGGTGCATGTGGGTGACACTGCAGGGCGGGTGGTGAGCCCTTAGCACTGCTGCTTCCTGAGAGTTTAGGGGACATGAGCCAAGGTGTGTGCAGTTGTCAGTTTCTGTGCCTGAAGTGTGAGGACGCGTCCTCCCGTGTACTAAGGGATGGAGAGGTCACATACACACACACACACACACACACACACACACACACACACACACACACGTGAGACGTGACCCGCACCGAGACCCAGCATCAGCAGTGCACTGTGGCCGTTCGTCTTTCTTTTCCCTCGCATGTGGGGCAGAGTGTGGCATTGTCCCCTTCTCCCCCTTTACCCCTTATGCCCCTGGACCCTCATCTGGCTTTGCTTACCCCCTTTGACCTGGCCCCCTCTCCAACGTGTTGACCCACGTCCTCTGTTTCACACGTCCTTCTGCTGTGTGTGCGGGTGTTTTTAAATGTATATGATGGTGTTATCATCTCATTGCCACTTTTTTCATTCTCCTTCTTTCTTTGTCTTCCCTCAGCAGAGCAGCTGTTATAAGTCAAGAACATTTGGGCCATTATTTCTTCAAATAAATATTCTCCCCCTGCCCTTCAGGGCCTCCTGTTGCCTGTCTGTTAGGCAGTTAACAGTCACAGTGTCTCGGAGGCTGTTTTAGGTTTTGGATTGTTTTTCTGTCTCGTGGTGGATCATTTCTCTCCTACCTGCCGGCTTCCCCGGTCTCTCTTCTGTCCTGTTTGATCTTCCTCTCGTCCCGCCCAGTCGCTCTTTGCCCAGGGCGGTCTTTGTGTTGGACACTGGTTTCGCCCCCGGCAGTTTCCTGTGAGTCTTCCCGTCTCTCCTGGGGCTGCTGAAGTTTCGAACCCATGGAGCACAGTTACCATTAGCACTCCACGCTGTTCTCTGCTGAGTCTGTCTCTGCCAGCCCTGGGTCTGGCCTTGGTGATTGAGTCTTTTTTTTTTAAGGTTTTATTTATTTATTTTTAGGGAGAGAGGAAGAGAAGGAGAAAGAGAGGGAGAGAAACATCAGTGTGTGGTTGCCTCTCACAAGCCCCCTACTGGGGACCTGGCCCATATAACTAGGAGTTGAACTGGCGACCCTTTGGTTCATAGGTGGGCACTCAATCCACTGAGCCACACCAGCCAGAGCTAGTGATTGAGTCTTGTTCCCAGCAGGCTCTGTCCCAGGCTGATCACCAACCCCCCCCATTAATAAAAGGCCTTGAGTGCTCTGCCCACTGTCCCAGGTAGCGGGTGTGTCCACTCTGGCTCCTGAGCTCTGGATACTGCTCTGTACTCTTAGGCGGTCCTGGCTCCAGCTCGGTTTGTTTCCCTGCACATGCCTGCCATCTGCCCTGTGCCCAGTGCCGAAGGCATTTCCCAGCCCTGTGTGCCAGGCTTGGCCCCGCCCCTCACAGTGGGCGTTGCATCAGGCTTATTTTGTTGCCATTAACTCCTCTTGACTCGTGGTATCTGCATTTTCACCTTTGGCTTCATCATGTGTGTGTCGATGTGTAGCAACCCTAAATTTGTGTTCAGATTATTTATATTTTAAGTTGTTATTTTCTCTTTTAATCCAGTAATTAGTTAGAAGGGTACTGTTTCTCTCTGCCTCTGTCCTCCCCTTCAGAAAAGGCAGTTCCTGTCAGGGGAAAAGTTCAAATGCGATTTTCCATTGAATAGAAATCTCCCCTCCCTCCGGGAATCTAGTCTTCTTCAGAGACGACCCTTATTTCCAGGGTCCTGTGCGTGTTCCCAGTGCACACAAGACAGAGTGTCCTGTGCACAGGCAAGAGTGAACAAACCTCTCTTCCCAAATTTAACATTCACAGTGATGTCTCCTTTTGCTCTCGCTGCTTATTAATACACTGGAGACACTTAAAGGGTGAGCACATGAGATGCACTGTGGTCCCCAAGGACAGGGGTCAGCGCATACCAGCTTTTTCCTCTTTTTTCCCTTCCCAGCTGTTCTCCTCGCTTGACCTCATTCCCCTGCTTTGCTTTCCCAGTTATGTTTCAGTGGGCCTTTCTCCTGTTCCCCAGTCTCGTTTGTCCTTGTGGCACTATTTCTGCCCCGACCCTGAGACCTTCCACAAGGCCTGAGGCCCATTCCAGAAGCAGTCTCAGATCCCTGTTGGATCCCCCAGGAACACACAGGGGTCTCCCTAGGAGATCAGAGAAGCAGGTAGTACCCACCTGCTTCTGGTGACCGGCTTTCCTCCACCGAGCACTAACATGAGTAGTGACTGCTGCGTTCTGCCACAGGAGCTGTCGTGACGATCACCACACCTGTGAGCATGAACGTGGACAGCCTCCAGTCCCTGTCCTCGGACGGCGCCACCCTGGCCGTGCAGCAGGTCATGATGGCAGAGCAGAGTGAAGACGAGTCCGTGGACAGCCCCGGAGCAGGCAGGGCCACGCTCACCCCCGCGCACATCAGCGGGCTGGTCCTGGAGAACAGTGACTCTCTGCAGTAGACCGTGGCCAGGACCCAGGCAGCCCGGACCCAGGGGGCGCCAGGACCCAGGGCAGCGGGCCTGGATTTTTAATAGTTTGCACAGCAAACATTTTACACAGTTTTATTTCTGATCTGTTTTATATGTAGATATAGAAGAGTGCACTTTTGTATTTCCTAGCGAGCTCCCAGAGCGTCTGTGCCGGTGCAGCGACTTCTTTCAAGTGTGTGTGTGTGCGCGTGCGTGTGGGTTTCCAAGGAATGTCTTTAAAGGTATAACGCTAAAAATGTGATGGATGACAAACACCCTGTGAGCCCCTGATTATGTTAAGGATCGGTGCTGCCGATTTGTAAAAAATTATGCAGTTTTAACTGAGTTCTGTGGCTAGAGCAGGTCTCGTGGGCTGGCTTATTTGTGTGGCCCACGGGTTTGAAAGAAGCTTCTGCACCTTAAAGCCACCAGCACAGGGCGAAGGGACACGACGGCAGACTGGCGTGGCTCCGTGGCGGGTGCCCCGAGGCCTCTGCGTTCTCCCACAGCGCGGGAGCCTGTTTCATTTGCTATATATAGAAAGAAACTCCTATTTTTACCTTGCTGGACTTATTGGATAAAAAAGCTATTTTTATAAATTCCTTATGAATTGGATTATGACTATATTGAGGGTAAAATTTCTAGAGAAGAAACCATACATGCTTACTATTTCAATTTGGAGTGATGAATTGACCAAATTTAATGAACCTGCCCCAAGATAGTTAGGGTAGTAATTTACATTTATTACTATGAAAGAAACAACTATTTAATGAAATTTTGGTATCTTCAAATTTTAGTTTACACATAAATGTGCAGATTGCATTTTCACTTAATCTAAATGTCCCTGAAATGGCATCTGCTAACTAGGACTTAGTTACGTGAAGTGGTAGACAGTGATGGGTTAAAGCTCTCCCCAGACGCATTTCCGTCTGACTTAAAGTTGACTGCGGCTGCGTGGTGACCACGCCACATTAGCTGCGTATTGTTTTAGGGTTTGTTAGTCAGCCATATGTTATGCATAGAATGTTTATTATAAACTAATATAAAACGTCCTCCATCCCATTGGCTCAGACCTGGGGTAAGTCGCAAACATTCACCTTTGTTCCATGATTAACGGAGAGAGACCCGTGAAGGGACAGGTGAGTGGGGCCATGCTGACCGTGCGCTGTGCTCTCCTGCCATTGGCTGCACGTGCACCATAGGTCCTGGGGCCCCATGTGTCCTCCTCGTACGCGTGACTGGAGTGTCCAGAGCCCTTCCCTCCTTTCCAGCACATGAGATTTGAAATAATGTTAGGACTCCCATTTCCTGGTGACAAGACGAACCAAAATCATAGACTGGGTTTTGTCTGCTTTGGTTGGTTGGTTTTCACTTGTTCGCTTGCAAGCGGGGCTGTTGCTCAGAGAGAAAACAGGGCACCTGTTTTCAGGAGCAGGTCTGCACGTAACCCGAACCGGGTTGCTTGCCGGGAGTCGGCGCCTTCCTGGAGGAGGGTCCCGTGGCTGGGAAGGCGCAGTGCCTGGGAGTCAGCTGCAGCAGCGGGTTGTGGACAGGGTCCCTTGGAGAGGTAGTCAGAGCTGGAGCACATTTTTTCTGGGACTGACTTTTTCTTAAAAATGGATTAATTAAAGTCAATCGTAGGAAACGACTTCCTGGATGACCTAGAAGGCAGAGAGAAATAATAGGAATTTCTTTTGAGAGAAATAATAGGAATTTCTTTTAAAAAAGTATTTCAGGAGCTTTGAAAAGAAAAACTTGACTGTCAACTCTTTGGGGAGATAATACCATTTTTAAGCAACTGTTGATTGCATTCCTTATTTATGAACAGTTTTTACTATTTTAAGTCTACACAACTTTACATTTTAGCTTTACTTAAATTCTAACTCTGGGGGCCTTCTCAGAAACCATCGTCTGTGGAAGCCGGCCCTCTCCTTCCTTCCTCACCCCGCCCTCCCTCTGTCCCTCGGGGCCACCCTGCTCTTTGGTTTAGTGTGAAAACATTCAGAGGATGTGAGCTCCTTCTGGGTCGTTGCTTCTCCCCCCGCCAGAAACCGTGCCCATGGGGGCAGCAGATTGTCGGCTGGGGCTGCGCACACCGCGTCAGATCGGAGGCGGCTGCATCAGGGTTCGCGCTGGCCCAGACTCAAGCTTCTGGGCCCAGTGACACCCCACGAGCCTCTGCAGCCACAGCTGGTTCCCTTAGGCCCTGAGTTCTCAGTCACTGTCTTCAGGGGACGAGGGTGAAGGCCGCTCAGAGAGCACGCGCTCCAGGGCAGACGCAGAGAGCAGGCGCTCCAGGTTTCTGTGACCTCTCCCCCTAGTAACCGCCTGCCGTGGCTGTTTCGGTCCAGAAAACTGCTGCCCAGCACACAGGCCGTCAGTGTCCACCTTGTCCATGCCTGTTGTCCAGCCCTCGGGCGTCACAAGAACCTGTGAAAGTGCTGCTTCTGCTGAACTGTCATTGCGAAGAGGCTGACGCTTTGCCCTCATTAAACTCCCCCGAGGCAGGGGGCTTTTGAATGTATCTGAGACCCCGGGCAAGCATGTTGTCCCTGCTGCTCAGCCGTGGAGCAGGTGGCTGACAATGCAGGCTGTGGACTGACCCAGCTTCCAGTCTCTTGGTTCCAGGTGGTGAAATAAGTTTAAGCATTTATCCCGTGTGCAAAGGCCAGTGGGCAGGGCCCTGCCTGTTCACAGGCCGCGCAGTGACGTGGCTCAGACCCCACACCGAGGGTTTCAGGAATCAGTTCCGGCACCTGTCGGGTGACTCGGCTCTGACCTCTGTGAGAAAGTTCGGGGCACGTTTTTCTGTCATACAAACGCAGATGCACCCGGAGGGTGTGACAGGCGCAGTGTTGGCAGTAGTGACAGAAGTGACTCGGCAACCTTCCTTCGTTTCAGTTACGTTTGGTCTATGAACTGACAATCTTTAAAACGTGAATACTGTAACAATATGTTTTCTTGGATTGTTGTCTTTAAAAGGGATTTTTGTGAAGCAATTGATTTATCAAAGCAAAAAAAAATTAAAAATAGAAACACGCCTTATGGAAGTTTTATTTTCTAAAGCTCATGTCACCGCACGCTTTCCCATTTTAAGTAATGCGTTCAGGCTGTTGACGTGTTTGCTGGTGACAGTTGGGGTTTGTGGTGACCCCTGCACACTTAAAACTTAGGGTCACCCTGCACTGGAGCCATTTACGTTTTCAGGAATCTACAATTGCTTCAGTTAGTCATTGGTTTTCCAGGAAAAAATTAGAAAGTTTTATTTGCTTTTTATTGTATTGCATCGTGAGTCTTACGACTTTGTTAGGAATGAGAAGAATAATCGATGAGCGAGGTGCTGCCTTTCATGGGTCCCACTGGAAACTGCAGCCCTGCACCCTCCGGACAGGCATCTGGGCCACTACAGAGGGGCGCTTTGGCACCCCCAAAACTGCTTCGAGGCTCCCGTGAGTCTGCAGACTGCACATTTTTAAAAGTGCATCTGAAAGTGTGAGTCTTGCTGCAGACTAGGGCCTGCAGCTGTGAGTGCCCTTTTTCAGGGAGGGCTCCCGCTGGGCGTCACCACGTTGTCACGGCAACTCCTCGAGGTCAGAGGTGAGGGCGAACGTGGCATTAACCAGGTAAGGGCCCAGCCGACCGTCCCTTCCAGACTCCAAGTGCTCCACTTGTAAAAGGAAAGAAGTTGGTTTGTGAGGTTTATTCTAGCTCAAAAGTACCGTTTTTGACAAAATTTTATGTCTCGAGAGATGCGTTAGTAAGTAATGACCCAGCAAACCCTGAAAGTAAAAAGAACTGAATCTGCACTGAATGTTTAGTGCTTCACCTGTTTTTGCTTCTTGCAGACGTCCTAGGTGAGGGGCGTTATGTGCAGCCCACGTGCGCTGCTGTGAGTGCTCTGCTGTATGCACACTGTGAGAAGAAATTCCCAGCACAAATTACGTTTGCCCCTCTTACCATTAGATTCTCTTACCTTCTCCGAGACCTAAGGAGATGGCTGCACCATCTTGAAGCTGAAATTTGCACAGCTGCGGCCCCCGTGACTCACCGGAGTGCACACAGCTCTGGAGGCTCCCTCTCGGTCGCCCTGACCCAGGCCCACCAGCCCCTGTGAGGGGTGGGGGGGCACGGGAGGTCCTGTCCTGCAGGGTCTCGGGCTCCACCCTGGCCGTCCGTGAAGGGCGAGGCAGTGTTGCCTGACAGTTTTGTACTTCACGTGCAGAGGCATTTGGAAAGCATGACCTTGCACAGGTATTTGGTTTTTATATCATGATTTAAATGAACCCAAGACTTCAGCCCATAAAAGCCAACAGTGGCTATAATACAAAGGAGGAACTCTCATCCCAGCAGGCCTGAAGGGGGCATTTTAATGATGTTGGTGGCTTTAGTTGCTTAGACATTTTTAGAAAATGGGTATAGAGAAAAATCAGGTATATTTTAAAAAATGTTTTGCTGTAAACTCTATTTTCCTCTGATATCATCTCAACACAGCCTTGTGTGTTCAGAAGTAGGTCGTGAGGCCCTGGCTGGTGTATGTCTGGGGTTGGGGGGTTCAGTGCAGCCCTGAGTTTGCAGAGAGTGTGGGTGTCAACAGCCAGCCCGCAGGGTTGCAGGAGAGGCTCGGCAGAGTGGAGCCAGGGAGGCCGAGGAAGCAGCATTTGCAGGAGGAGGTGAGTGTGTGGAGGCCATGGCCTGGGGCCCCCAGCAGGCACCTGTGGCTTTGATAAGAGAAGGGTCAAAGCAGAGGCCAGGTGTTGCCTCACAGGGTGACTCGGAAGCCAGTAGAAGGTAGCACAGGAACTTATTTGATTGCTTTGGGGTGAAGACATTTTAAGACCCCAAGTGCAAAGATGATGAGACAGAACACTGGTGGTTTGGGCCGATTCACAGGGAGGATTTCCATTCAGTGAAGGACAAATGGACTGTAAACAGGCGACGAGGTGAGAGAGGCTGTCCCCTCTTTCTTGTTACATCTAATGCTGTCAGGCAGTTTGTAATTGGGGTTAAGGGAAGTTTCCTGCAAATCGATGAGAAAAAACTAGAAATGGAGAGGAAAATGGCAGGATGTTCACTGGAAGGCTCAGGAGCCAGGCACAGACCCGGGAAGCACTTCACCAGGCAGAGGCCAGGCGGGGGGCACTGTGTGTGCAAGCGGGAGCCTGTACACTGCCGGCGGGCGTGGCCCTGGGAGGGACCGCTGGGCCCTGACGGCACAGAAGGGCAAGAGTCTCAGCCAGGGTGCACTCAGGGTTCGTGGCAGCATCTCCCCTTTTTGATACTGAGTTGTTTTTCCTTTGTTCCTAATCTGTGGTTGAATGTTGCCTGCTTTTTGTAGAGCAGTTTCAGGTCCAGAAGTGGGCACGCACCCTCTGACAGGCCGCTGGTGTGGGGCCAGGTCAGTCTGTTTGACCAGTCGCTGGGTGTGGGTTTTGTTGCTCTGGTTATGCTCAGATTTCCCCATCCTGAGGTCTCCTCTGAGTTCCTGCACGCCTCAGCTTCCAGCAGGTGCTGTGAGGCTGCACCTGGCTCTGGCCCACCGCCAGGCCCCGCCCCAGCCAGCAGAAGACCAGATGAGGCTCAGGTGGAGGCAGGGTGTGTTCCCGGTTCAGCCTCTGTCACAGGCAGGTCCTGTGTCCAGGGGCTCCAGGGCCAGCTTCTCAGCAGTCTGCCCACACCTACCTTTGATGCAGACATATCTGGGTAGGGTCTAGGGTGGAGTGTGCCTGGAATCAGGGTGGAGCCTGGGTCTGAAAGGCTTTCTGCTCCCCTCCCACCAAATAGTGGTTCTCTCTGGGAGGGGGGCGGGGCTTGTTCCTCCCCCAGTGGATTAAGACTTCGGCTTCATCTGAGGGAAGGGCCGGTGTACCCTCGGGGTGGGAGTCTCTCCAGCTCCCTGCCCCACTCCCCTGCCCTCCCATTTGCAGCTGCCTCCTCTTCCTGCACTGCCAAGGGGGGGCCACCCTGTGTCCCCTCCCACTCTAGAGGGCTTGTCACTTTTTGGCATTGAGTCACCTGGTAGCCTTGTGACCACAGCGCTCTGAGCTTGAGAAAAGATTTTGCATATTATCCACATTTTCTCATTGTTAGGGTGCAAGTCATGCTCTCATGGCTTTCTACATCCAGAATGGAAGTGGAGCCACAAATGGTGTGAAAAACAAGGTTTCCAGATAAATTAGGATGGAGGAAAAAGCAAAATCAGATCTATCACACAGTCCCATTGGTAAACGAGAAGCGCACAAAACAGCGTTGTTCGAGGATGCCCCACGGCAGGGGGCGGGGAGTGAGCCTCAGCAGTGGGTCCCAGGATGGCCGTCGGCAGTGAGGGCAGCCCGCCCAGACCCAGAGTGGGGTGCAGAGCGAGCACTCTGCACCAGAGGTCCCAAGTTCAATGAAGATGGGGATCAGGCAGGGGAAGACTGGGTTTGGAAACCACCTCGATCCAGAATGTAAGGGGTGGTTCACTACTGTCCACTTTAGTGCTGAGGGACTCAGCGCCATTGCGGTTCGTGGTTCTTCGTCTGGGAAGGTTGTTCTCTCTGGGGTCTTGTGGCAGGTTGTTTTCCACGATGGCCGCAGCAGCATTTCCAGACCCCCACGTTCTTCTAACTTTGTCCATCAGGTGAGGCCCCTCCCCTTGAAACTGGGTGAGGTTTACACTGTAACGTCAGAACAGCATGAGGTAGCTGTGATGCTTGCTGGTGACTGAGAGGTTTACGCCGTAGGTGGACCACTGCCTGTGCATCCTGTCCCCGGCCACCGTCCCCTGGCCACCGTGTGATGGGGAAGACAGGCCACATGCAGAGGCTGTGAGTGGTTCCAGCTGGGGCCTGCACCGACCAGCAGGCAGGCGGGAGTGAGCGAGCTCGCAGATGCTTCCCGCTGCGCTGGGGATGGCGGAGCTGAGCTGAGACGGCTGTCCCTGGACAAGTGCGCTACTCGAAGCACAGCCGTGCAGTGCAAGCAAGTAACTGGTTCCTGCTGTCCATCACCATTTGGGGCAGTTTGTTGAGCACCCGCCTTGTGCTCTGTGGTGCTGGGGTGGGCCTGTTTTCCTTCATTGGGTCAGCACCGGCCTCTCAGAAGCCCACCTGCGGACCCACGGAAGCACTCAGCTAACCAGGTAAACCCTGATGCTGGCTCTGGATCCAGTCATTGTCCCCCAGTTTTGCTGTTGGCTGAAAGGGAGGCATCTCAAGGGGACCTGGGAGGGAGCAAGCCACACACACATGGCCCACTGCAGGGGCCCCGCTGCCAGGGCAGACACCCGCGTCCTCCAGGCACGGCACGGTCCTCAGTGCGAACGGCTTGCGAAGTGGCTCTGGGCTCCAACTTTCATCATCCCGACTGCGTGCTCACAGTCCAGCCCCAACCGGGCCACCCAAAGGCCAGTCCTGCCTGACCTGCTCCTAGTACAGGGGGCAGGCAGGTGTGAAGGAGACGCCTGCCCAGCCCCAGGAGGAAAGGCCTGATTATTCTGAACTAAATCACAGAAGCCAGATTGAGTTAACGAGAAGACAGCAATAAAACTAACAGACCTGCCCTGTTACTAAAATGCGTAAGGAATGACCCATCTGCAAACGAGTGTTCCTACAATGAAGTCTTTGTGGGGGGCAGCCTCTGTGCCCCAGCGATGGATGTGCTGCGCGGTCTGAAGCACTTCGTTGTCTTAAGTAGGTTACGTGTGATCTGGCACTGCTGTTGCACACCCTGGTCCGGCCAGCCCTTTCCTTTTAAACAAACAGCACAAACAAGAACACCATGCTCCCCACTGAGCCCAGCACACTGGCTTGCCCCACAGGAGGCCGCTGGGGGCCCAGGTCTGCAGGCTGCACGCTCCTGCCCCACCCTGAGGGTGCTTCAGTCCACCCAGACTGCGCCCTGGCAGTGGGGACTCCCCACTTGCCCCAGCCTAGTTACAGCTGTGGGTGCAGGGCAAGGAGGCTGAGCTAATGAAAGGAGGGAGGGCTGGACACCAAGGAGGGCCACAAAGTCCCAGGCCCTGAGCGTCTATCTCCTGCTGTGGGGTCTTTGGCAAGATCCCAACAGGAAACTGAGGGGAAGCAGTGTGACCCACCCTCACGGCCAGGACCCTGCACGGACGGACGGCCTGTTTCCTCCACCCCGTCGAAGTGTCGCCCCTGGGCCCTCTGGCCACTGTAGTCTGTGGGTGCAGGGTCTGCTCTCTGGGGATCTCCCTTCCCCCTCATCCTGCGGGAGCCCTCCACGGCCTCGGCGGGTGGAACCCACTATCTCCCCCTTGTTTCGCTCCCTCACTTTGGTGTGGGGGTAAACACTGGATGCCTCCAGTGCTCTCCTGTGCCAGGGGGCCACTTGCCTGGCTGGAGACATCTGGACCTGCCACGGCTGTCGGGAGAAGGTGCTCACAGCAGGGGCCTGGCTGCCATCCCATCTCCCTTCAGATGCTTTCAGGCTCCGCCCCCTTGCCCCCAGCCTCCACGTGCTGGAGATGAAGTCCGCTGCCTTCCACATTCTGAGACTGTGTGTGAGCTGGGCTTCCCCACCCCTGGAAGCTCTGTTGGATCTTACTATCCCAAGTGATGTTCACTATGTTCCCAGTGTGGTTCTTTCTCCATCCATTGTGTTGGGAACTGTGTGGATCCTCTCAGTCTGCAAAACCATGTCTTTTAGTCTGGGATGGTTTCTTGAATTATTTCCTTCTCTGTTTTCTCTTTCCTTTCTGGACCTATTACTAGTCGGATATTAGAATCCAAGAAGCTCAAAGAATTGCACGCATGAGAAACAGGAAAAATGCATCACAATGCATCATGATTTCTAAAACAATATTGAAAATGAACAGAGATTGAGGACACACTTTCTGATTTCAAAGCATATTACAGAGCTACAATGATGAAACAGTGTGGCACTGGCTTATAGATGAACACACAGACCTCTGGATAGAACTGAGAGTCTAGAAGTAAATCCATACATCTATGGCCAACTAATTTTCAGCAAGAGTGCCAAGACCAGTCAGTGGGGAAAGAATGTTTTTCCAATAAGTGGACATAATTGGATACCCACATATAAAAGGATGAAGTTGGATCCCTCCCTCACACCATGTATAAAAAAGTGAGCTAACGTATAAAACTCAAGAAAACAAGCACATTTTCATTACCTTGGACTTGACAATGAGTTCTTAGGTAGAATTCCAGAAGAAAAAATAGGTACATTAGACATCATCAAAATGGAAAACTATCGTGCCCCAAAGTTTTATCAAGAAAGAGAAAAGACAGCCAGCAGATTAATCAGTTACAAGATCCTGTAACTCAGGATTCTGATTGGGGTCTAGTTCCAGAACACATGAACTAAAATTGAGCAACAAAAGACAACCCACTTTAAAAACAGCCAAAGGACCCGCATAGACATTTCTCCAAAACAGAAACACAAATGAGAGGAAGCCCAGTATCACTGGTCATCAGGGAAAGGCAAATCAAAGCCATGAGCTGCCACAGCACACCCACTACCGTAACTATGAAGAAGAGAAAGTAAATTAAGTGTTGGGAAGGACAAGGAGAAGTGGGAACATGCACACTGCTTGTGGGGATATAAAATGGCGTAGCCACTGCGGGAGAGACTGGCAGTTCCTGTGAACGTTAACCACAGGACTACCACACGACCCCACAATTCTGGTTCTGGGGTCTACACCCCAAATTACTGAAAAAAGAGTCATTCAAACAAATGGGTGTTATGTCGATGTTCACAGCAGCACAATTCACAATAGAGTGGAAGCAACCTAAGTGTCCATCAACTGGGGAGTGGAATGTTACTCAGCCATAAAAAGAAATAAAGTTCTGACACCTGCTACTGAACAAACCTTGAAAACATGTTGAGTGAAATAAGCCAGATGCAAGGCCACAGACTGTATGATCCCATTTATCTGAAATAGCTCAAATAGGTAAATCCACATAGACAGAAAGCAGATTAGTAGTTTCCAGGAGAGGGGGGAGGGGAGGGGGAGAAATGACTGCTTAAGGGGGTGAGGAAAATGTTTTGGGACCTGACAGAGGTGGTGGTAATCCACCACCTCTTGAATGTAATAAATGCCACTGAATTGTACATTTAAATTCTGTTCACTTCAGGTATGTGAATTTCACCTCCATTTAAAAACCTCGAACACTCAAGCCCCTCTAACCAAACCCGCCCTGGGTAGATGGCGCTGCCGTGCGAGGGTTGCTGAGCTGATTGATCCGTGTTTCCCGGGCCCCCTTTGCTGCGCCCCATTCTGGATCATTCTCTGGAAAAGGCACTTCCTTGTGTCTTCAGTCCACCCTGGCCCTGTCATTGCCTAGGTTCATCAACCTGGCTGAGTTCCCTTTCAATGCAATTTCCTTATTGAAACATTTTAAGAGAAAATTAAAGAAAAACACATTCTACTCATCCAAGGGTCAGGTATTAGTAAAAGGGAAATGAATGTGTCCACTGGCCTCCGGCTGAGCCTCCTGCACCCGCTCCTTGCTGCCCCAAGCAGCGGGGCAGCGCCCAGCACTGGTGGCTGAAAGGCACATGGCTTGTTAGTGTTTGAGAGTGAAAGAGCAGCAGTGTGTGTGGAGTCAGAGCTGGGCTGTGGCCCCGCCAGCTCTGGGTTCCGAGGCTCTTGCTCACTTTGTCTTCTGGTCCCGCTCCCGGGCAGCCACGAAATTCAGCAGGTCAATGGCGGTGACGACCCCGAACACCATCTGCCTCTTACTGGACTTCCCGTGGCTGTGGTCTGAGGGAACAAGGCAGTGGGTTAAAGGCACCTCCGCGTGGAGCCCGCCCCAGGCACTCTGAGAGGCTGAATCACAAAGTGTGGGCCCAGGAACCAGCTAGGAGCCTGCCCCGGCGTCTGCCGCACCTGGCCACACTCATGGAAGCCCAACCACCTTCTTCGTCTGACAGCAGCCACCTGGGTGGGGCTGCAAAGCAGGGTGCTGCTCTCTGGGCCATGCCCACTGGCCATGTGCCCAGGGGCCTCACTGATGGCGAGCAGCCTAAGGGTCTGTCTGGGTGCCCAAGCCTCGAGTCCCAGCACAAAACTGCACCACCAAGCACACCCATGAGCGGCATCAGCTCACTCCACTGGGCTGAGACTGTCCTCAAGCCCGTGCTGCTCTCTCGGGCTCAGGATGAATGCCCGCCCCGTGGGGTGCAGGGGTTGAGGTGATGGCTCAATGTGAGCCGGCTGCGGAGTGCTAAGCTCAGATTCGGTCAAACATAATTCTGGGTGTTTCTTGATGAGATCAACCTTTGAACAGGTTGCCTTCCCTGGTGTGGGTGAGCCTCATCCAATCAGTCGAAGGCCCCAAAGGAACAAAAAGGCTGATGCTCCCCAAAAAGAGGGGACTTCCCCAGCCTTTGGGCTTGAACTGAAACATTGACTCTTCCCGGGTCTTGAGTCTGTCCCTTCCCCTGCAGATCCTGGGACCTGCCAAACGAGTCACGTGAGCCAGTCTGTCCAATGATCCCTCTTTGCAGGCACACACACTGCTCAGTGTTTCTTGGGATGGCCCTGACGCAGTTGCCATGAAGCACGGAGAGCCAGGTGGCGCGGAGGGACGGCGGGAAGTGCCCAGGCCACGTTTTATCCCTCCAGACCGCATCCCAGCGACTCCAGGGCCATCTGTCCCTCAGCTAGGGGAGCGGGAGACACAGAGGAGCCAGGCACCCTGCTGGCCTACTCAGAGCCCCTCAGGAAACCCAAGGGAGGACCGGAGGGGACCAGCTACCCACGTTTCAGGGACTTCTAGGCAAGGTGGCACTTAGGAGGAGCCTGGCCTCTGTGGGGAGGGCAGTGTGTGCAGCCCCTGCCACCGGTGCTCCAGACCCTCAGGCGCAGAGGGTCGGCCACCTCTGTGAAGGGCCAGGTCTCCATCACAACCGCACAGCTCTGCCAGCAGCACGAGGCAGCCATGGACACGCAAGGTATCAGCTGTGGCTGTGCCCAAGGACACTCCGTTTGTGGGCTCTGACACTGGAACTCACATTATTCAGGGCGCAGGAGGTGTTCAAATACAAGTAAATGTGAGACAAAGGGGAAGAACCCACCCCTCCCAGCTCTGGGGTCTGGGCGCCCCTACGCCCTCCCCTGCCCTCGGAGCCACGGTCCTGACCGCAGAGCCATTTCCAAGGCGGGGACAGCCGGCGTACATACCTGCAGGCCCCCCCACCACTCCTGCCAAGGCCTGGTCCTGTGCTGTGGAGCCAAGGACGGGAGAGGGGTTAGACTTGGCCACCCAGGCCCTGACGGCCCTCGGCTGGGGGTGGGGGCAGGGCAGGCTCCAGGGCACTCCCAATTCTCGACACTGCAACCCTCGCCCTCAAGGAGGCCCAGGCCTGCCTCACAGAGGGGTTCTCTCTGAGAACTGTGCCCAAGGCTGGGAGGGGCTGAAGGTCCGCTCCACTGATGCTCATGTGCCTGTGAGGCACCAGGCCCCGCTGCTCCACGCAGCTCACGGCAGCAAAGCGCATGCGGGAGCCTGGGGCTGGGCCTCGGTGGCCAGCACCTGGCAGGGCTCCAGCACCGCCACCCCTGCCCCCAGCCCACTTACACTGGATCTGCTCGTGGACCACCAGGGCGAAGTGGTCCATCTCCAGGATGCGTGACAGTGTGCCCAGCGGGTCCATCAGGCGGATCTGGAAGAGAAGCTGTGGTCAGCGCTCACGGGGTGGGGGGTGGGGGCTGCCAGGCCTGCTGAGGGAAGGAGCACGAGGCAGCAGGAGAGGCGGGCGTCACTCCACAAGCTGCCTCTGCAGCCTTTTGCAGCTGTAGAGACAACACAGGACTCAGAGGCCAACACGGTGCACAGAAGGAGATACTGGGCGAGCCACCGGCCCGGGAAAAGCCACAGGAATATTCCGTCCATGTTGCCGTGAAGGAGCCCGTGAGGAAGCTGCCTGAGTGGGGGTTCCAATTCTGGACATTCCGGAAAAGGGAAAACGCCCCCTTGCGCAGGAAGCGCAGTGCCGGCCCCCAGGGAGAGAAGGGGCTCCGGGCCACTGCTCCAGAGAACCGGCGCTCACCTGTTTGAACTGCCTGTAGATGACTTTGCGAACTTGGTCGGACGGCTGCACCTTCCCGGCGAGCAGGCATGACAGCATGTTCCCCAGAGTCACCATCCCCAGGATTGTCCTGGGGAAGGCAGGGCAGGGTCAGGGGAGATGGCAGAGCAGGCCTCCTGCGCCCTCGCTCAGAGCCCACGTGGTCTGGGGCCGGATGTGGGTTTCCCCTAGAATTCAACACCTGTCTATGGAGAGCGCACACGAGGTGGGAAGACAGCGGTGACCAGATGCCCTGCCCTGGACCTGCCTGTCCGATGCGGGCAGACAGCACACCAGGAAGTCCTCTGGGTATTTGTCTGGCAGGAGTCACAGTGTTCTAGGACATGGGACTTTCAGTGCTAGAACTGGGACAGACCCAGGAAAACCCGGACAGTTGGTCCCTGGGGCATGTCTGCCAGCCCCTCCGCTGAGACCTCTCCACAGAGCAAGGTCAGGGACTGTCCGCTGCCTCCTGTGCTCACACTGCGTGCAATGTGGTGGGACACGGGGTCAACACAGCCAGCCCCCTGCCCCGGCCAGTGCCCGGGGACATGGTATCCAGCGGATGTGGGCCAATGCTCTGGACATTCCTATGCAAAGTGACCAAGGTCAGCCAGCCAGCCCTGTCCTGAGTGTGGCGAGACTGACCCCGACTCATCGACTACGGGCGCCTGGTCGAAGCCCTTCTCTCGGAGGATGGCGATAGTGTGCTCACAGGTGACCGTGGGCAGCACCGTCAGCGGCGCCGACAGGCACAGCTCCTGAACTGTGAGGTGCCACCACCTGAGGGAAGACAGCGGGGCAGGTAGGAGTCAAGGACAAACACTTGGACACAGGGCAACATCACACAGGGACACCATGGGGACGAGCAGCCAGGTGTGGGACAGCCCAGGTGCCCCAGGTCCCAGGGACAGGTGTCCGCAGGTGGTCCGGGGGTGCGGTCCCTGCTCAGAGGCGCCCTCACCAGGGCTTCTTCACCGTGATGTCCTCCTCCTTCAGGAAGCCCTTCTGCAGCATCCACCTGTCGCTCAGGAACTTGGACCTGCAGGTGTCGGGAGGTCAGCAGGGTTAGGCGGAGGGTCTCGCCACCGCCTGTGCTCACACCGAGGGGCACGGGTCTCACAGAAAGCCCAGGACCACCCTGGCCACGCGGCTCAGTGGGTCAAGCGTTACCCCGCAGAGCCAAAGGTCGCTGGTTGGATTCCGGGACATGTGTGCGGGTGGCGAGCCAGAGCGTGGGTGACACGACAGGCGGGTGGGGCAGGGAGGCGGAGCCTTCCTAGGGCGCTGCGTCCTCGCCTCCCTCAGCTGGTGCACTAGGCCTGGAGGTCTCACATGAGTGGAGGGGGTGTGGGGGGGGCTGGCGGTGGGACCAGGCTTGCGGGCACTGCCACCACGGTCGTGCACTGTGTTTAAACGCATCTAGAAGACCCCAGACGTGGACACGGCAGGCAGGGAAAACATGGGCCCCCGAAATTCGGGGGGAGGCCTGGCCCAGGAGGGCGGGAGCAGAGTCTGCGGGGCCCCTGACCCCAGCCCTGCCTCCCTGCCATCAGGTCTCGGGAGATGCAGCAAAGCAACAGCTGCAGCGCCCAAGGGGGTGCCAGGAAGGACAGGACTTGGGGGGCGGGGGTATTGCTTACATGTAGTTCCGGATGGAGTCGGGCAGAATCACCACACAGCGCTGGCCCTCCCGCAGCTCCTGGGCCGCCTTCACGGCCGCCGCCATGGCACTGCCGGAACTGCCGCCTGCCGTGAGGGCCGGCGTCAGGGGGAAGTGAGCAGGCAGGAGCCTCGTCCCATCTCCTGGCAGGGGAGGCCCTCCCAGCACCCTGCCCCGGCCTGGGACCCCCACTGATGGGGAGCCCCCACCTCAAGGCCAATGCTGGTCTTGACTGAGAAAACCCCACGTCCCAAGCTCTCTGGCCCCAAAACTTGCACATGCACCAATGACTGACAGCACTGCCAAGTCACCACTTGGGGGCCACATGCCGCCAGTCCCCACTGCTGACTCTCCCAGGAGTGCAAAGCCAACAGCTGCTGCTTTTGTGTGTCATGCTGTGTCCCCAGACCCTTCTCAGGGCTTCATGCCATGCCCCACCCTCAGTGAGGTCGTTACACACAGAAAACAGAGTGTGGCCTGGGAATGTTGACCCAGAGCTCTGGCCACTGTGGAAGGGCGCTCCTGCCCCCCTGTGAAGCAGGTGTGAATCTGGAGGACAGGCTGGCCGACCTCCTAAAGGTCTGGGGCAGACGGACGGCACATGGGGAAGCCGTCACAGCCTCGGAAGAAGGGTGCCCCGTACCATGTGGACTGGAAGCTGGCAGAGGCAGGTGCCCGCCGGTCCCTCACCCCCGCTGCCACCCACTCACCACACAGCAGCCCCTCCTGCGCAATCAGCATGCGAGCAAAGGCGAAGGACTCCTCGTCGTTGCACTTGAACCACTTGTCCACCACCTGCGGGCAGGGCCCAGACCACCAGCTCTAGGAGGGGCTCGGGCAGTGTGCGGTGGGGACAGGGGCCCCCAGCCATGTTTGCAACTGCACAGATGGCCGCAGTCCAGGTGGCTGTGACCCTCTGCGGACGTAGCCCAGCCCCCGAGCTGGGGTCTGAGACTCCAAGTCTACAAACTGGGAGCTTTCTACCTGTCCCTGGTTCAATGTATTCTGCACGTGGCAGTGAAAGCTGCCCGCTGGCTCCTGCTGGATGGCCACATGGCCTGCAGGCTGGGCTCTACACCCCACAACTGAAGCCCCTTATTGGGTCCTTAGAAAGAGCCTATTCTGGGGTCCTTACCCTGCCCACGTTCTCCTTGCTTACCAGCCTGAACCCCCTCCCTCTGCAGGGGCCTCATCTGTGTATGTGGGTCAAAGCCAAACCTGCTGGAGTCTTTGCCCAGCAAGGTCACACCATGTACTTGGATATGTGCAGAATGTTATCTGGTATTGACCTTTGAGACTACATTTCTTCTACCTGCTTATATGCAGTCATGTTTCTGCCCCTTCCTCAGCAGGACAGCCAGGCCGGGCGCCAGCGTTCAGCCAGGCATGCAGACGTGCAAGCTGGTTAAAGGGCAAGCCCTGAGGACCGGAACCAGTCACCGGGGCCCCACCTACCGACCGGTCCAGCACTGTGGGGACGAAGTCATAGCCGATCCCTTCCACCTCGTAGGCTGTCACCTCCGTCCGGTTCAGCTCCTCGGGCTCTGCGAGGATGGAGCCTTCGGGATCCACCCCAATGATCTACAGAAGGGGCAGCATTAGGCCCGTGTCCAGCAAGTCTCATCTGGACCAGCCCAGCGATCATCGGGGGTCAAGACCGGAGTAACGGGCGCCCACTAACGATCTGCCTGTGGGACACAGGTCTTGCTCCCAGTTCCCAGCTCAGAACCGGGAAGCCCCGGAGCTGGAGGAACCCCAGCTCAAGGGGACAGCGGGGGGGTGCTTTCCAAGAAGCGCCTCCTGCACAGAACGTCCCAGGGAGCCGTGGCCTCAGGCACAAGGAGCAGGGCTGCACAGTGACCCTTCTTGGCCAGCGGGGAGGTGGATGGAGGGAGGGAGGGGGCTCAGCACCGCCAGCAGGCATTTCTGGCAGCCCCGCCCCAGCCCACTCAACTCCAAACCCCGAGCCCTGCCTGCCTCTCAGATCCCAGATGGGGCAGATGCAGGACCTGAACCTGAGAGCTTAGAGCTCCTGGGTGGTCCCTGGGGGCACCCAAACTGACTCCCACCCCCAGCTTACTGGATCGTGGCGTTCCTCTAACAGGCAGGGCCTGCAGCCTCCCTCCCCTCCCCTCCCGCCCCCCACCCCAGCAACCCCGGGTCACTCACTTTGCAGCCGGGACACTTCTCCTTTAGCTTCCTGGCGATGCCCGTGATGGTGCCACCTGTACCCACTGAAGCCACCAGCATGTCCAGCTTCCCTGATGGGGAGAAGCCACATCAGGAAGAACATTCTAGTAAGTGAAAACACACTTGACCAAAATGAAGGCGGGTTATCAAGGTTTTTCTTTTTTCAAAACTCTTCTCCAGTTTCCCCGGCTTTCCGCCACCGTTATCTTTAGGAAGCGCTCCGTCACTGGGCCACAGTGAGCTTCACTAGGGTCTTTGCTAAATGACACTTGGCCCCTGAATCTCTGTTCAGCGTGAAGCCTGCCTGGAAGTGTGGGAAGGACAGTATGGTGGCTGCCTAGAGAGACAGGACACGGGGGGACTCCTCACGAGGTACCTTCCTATGCTGTTTGGTTTTGGAGACTGAACAAGTGAGCTGAATCATGAAGGACAGAACCCATCACTCTGGCTCGACTCGGAAACCCCCTGTGCTTTGCCGCTGCCCAGCGCCGGCCAGGCGTCCTGCAGACAGGTTTGTGCAGGCCCTCGTGCCGAGGCAGGGGCGGTGTTTGCCAAGTGAGAGTATCCCGCACATAAAACCTGGGTGAGCACATGCCTGTACTTCACTGCCTGGCTCCCGGGCATGGAACGAGGCTGCACTTAAGCCAGTGCCAAGCCCAGGCTCCAGACAGGAAATGTTCCAGGAGCCTCACGTCCGTATAGATGGGAGGCTAATGGCTGACATCCCCACCCAGGCTCTGCAGATGGAATTCAATGCCCGAGTTAGGGCTTGATGCCCAGTGCCACTCAGCAACGTGAAGCCCCAGCTGTGAGCCCGGCACCATCCCAGGACACACTTACTCCCCACATGCAGGAGCTTCTGCAGCTCTGGAGGACAGACTGCTTGGTAGACAAATGTCACTGTATAATCTATTTGGTGTTTAGGAGAGGCACACACAAAGTCCAAGACAGCACAACAGAAGCAGGAAAGCGCTCTAGAAAAATGTGCATTTCACAGAGGGGGGACATTTGATCTGGGTTCTGAAGGATGAATAGGAGTTCACCAAGCAGCGAGTCAATCATGTGTACACTCCCAGGCAATCAGAGAGGGACAGTGAAGATGCACAGAGGGGTGAGGGTGGCAGTACACACCATCACACTGCTGCAGGATCTCCTCGGCCGTGCTGTCGTAGTGAGCAACGGGGTTGTTGACATTGCGGTACTGTGTGGAGGGAGAGCAAAGGGGCTGTGAGTGAAGGTCAAGGACACTGAAATGGCAGCAGCCACAGGGTCTCCAGCAGACAGACAAATAAGCTCAGTGCAAGCAGAGTGGTTCCAGCAGCTCAGGGAAGATGGGCCAACGGCACAGGTAGTTTTAGAAGCCTCAACAAACACAAAACGATAAACACAGCTTTTTAGAAGATGCGACTTCTGAATCAGCCCGGGGACAAAATTAGTGAGGCAGAAGAGCGTCTAGTAAAAAAATGTTTTTATGCGTTTTATGCCTGCAGAGAGCATCCAGGGTCCTCAGCGAAGGCCACTGCCACCCAGCGTGACGAGCTGAGCCTGACGCAGAGCCAAAGGCTGGGCCCAGGCTGGAAGTCTCACCCAGCCAGGAGTCGGCAACCATGCGCCCCTCACCGGGTCAGTCACTTTGCAGCCCCCACTCCTGCTGCAAATGTGGCACCACCCCCACACAGATGCCCCACCTCCAGGAGTCCACACCTACCGCAGCCCCGAACCTCACCTGGTCCAGGATGTGAGAATTGGGGATCTCGTTCTTCAGCCTCCATGCCACGCCCACATGCGACTCGGGGGAGTCGAACCTGGCGTTGGTGGGCGTCCTCACAATCTCAGCCCCCAGGGCCCGCAGCACGTCCACCTGCAGGAAACAGAGCCTTTCCCCACTGGCCGGGCCTCCTGCCCCAGAGAGGGTCCCGGGAGAAAGCCCGCCGCCGGCCTACCTTCTCCATGCTCATCTTCTCTGGCATCACGATGATGCAGCGATAGCCCCTCACTGCGGCGGCCAGGGCCAGCCCGATCCCTGGGGACAGCACACGGGCGCCAGGTGAGGCCCTGCCCGAGCCCCTGCAGCCCCTGCCTGGGAGGCCAGAGACAGGCCCCCAGGGCCCACGGAGAGGGCACTGTGGACTCCCGAAAGCCCCATGTTGTCCCTCTCTGTCCTCAGGGGCAAGAGAGAGAATGCAGAGATGAAGTAAAAGGCAAGGGCGCTCCCGGGGAAGAAAGCTGGGGCACAAACTCAGGCTCCAATCCCCCAGCTTTCGCTGGATGCCCACACCATGTCCTGGGCACTCAGGACAGCAGCAGTGAGAGCACGTGCTGTAGGCTGGCTGTGCGTGCAGGTGGTCCTTCGGGGAAAGGCAAAGTGGCCTGGAAGGCAGGCAGAGGTCAGCAGGGCAGCCTCCTCCCTGGTTCCACTGTCCAGAGGATAGACCATCAAACCAAAGACGATTGCTGTCAAGTCTTAAGACCCAGAGGCCCCTGGCTGGCGTGGCTCAGTGGATTGAGCGCCAGCTTCTAAACCAAAAGGTCGCTGGTTCAATTCCCAGTCAGGGCACATGCCTGGGTTGCAGGCCAGGTCCCTGGTTGTGGGTGTGCAACAGGCAACCAACCAATGTTTCTCTCCCTCTCTTTCTCCCTGCCATTCCCTTCTTTCTAAAAAATAAATAAAACCTTAAAGAAAATCCAACGGAATTTGCCAAGCTAGGTTTCAGACTTGCTGGGGACCTGGCACCCCTCCCTCTTCCCTCTTTCTCCCTTTGCAAGGGGGTGTCTGTCCTGTGCCTGTCCCACCGGAAGCACATGACTTGTCTGGTTTTACAGGTTCACAGCTGGAAAGCCGCCTGCCTCAGGGCGAACCTGCCTCGAGTGCATCTAACTGGGATGAGACCCTGGACCGCAGAGTGGGTGCTGGAGGGAGTCCAGACCCGCTGGGGCTGCTGGGATTGAGGGAGTGTGTTTCGCATGTGAGAAGGACATGGGCTTGGGGGCCAGATGGCAGAGTGTCACGGGCCGCATTGTGTCCTCCAAAATTTCCATGTCGAAGTCCCAACCCCCTCATCTCAGAAAGTGGCGGTATTTGGAGACGGGTCTCTGAAGAGGTTAGCACGGTTAAACAAGGTCACTGTGTGGTCCCTAATCCCACATGACTGGTGTCCTAAGAAGAGATGAGGGCACAGACACATGGAGAGAGGATGACTGTGTGAGGACACAGGGGGAAGACAGCCGCCCACATGCCAAGGAGCCAGGCCTCAGGAGGACCAGCCTTGTGAAACCCCGAGAGCGTCCAGGACCGGGAGGGAGCACCGTGTGTTGATGAAGCCACACGGCAGCTACAGGGAACGAAAATGGATTTTCACCCTCCGGTGCAGCTGCTGACCTGAGCCGCAAACATCAGCCAGGCAGGCCCGACAGTAAGATGCCAGAGGAAGCAGGAATGACACAAAGGGGCAGCGCGCATGCAGGCTCAGTGAACCGCCTGGGGAGAGGCCGCCAGCCAGGCCCGGGGACCCTGGCTTGTCCCAGCGCACACCTGTGTTCCCAGATGTCGGCTCGATGATGGTGTCCCCGGGCTTCAGGGTCCCGGCCCGCGCAGCCTCCTCGACCATGCGCAGGCTGATTCGGTCCTTCACGCTCCCTCCCGCGTTGAAGAACTCGCACTTGGCCACTGGGAGCCAGAGACAAATCGTGAGACGGGAAGAGGCCCCTGACCCCTACCTGACCCCTGCTGTCTGCCTGCCCTCCCCCGCCACCTCCACTGCCTGATCCACGGACGACGAAGGGCCAGGCCTGGTGTTCCCTGGTTCTGTACATCAGCCCCCTCTCCACGCCCACCCACCACCAAAGCTGCCCCTCAGGCTCACCCCACCCCAGGGTGCCTGGTCCCCACAGGGTGTCTGCATCTGCTCTTTGCTCTGTGACAACGTAGCAGCTCTACCTGGGCTCCTGCCCTGCAGACAGTGGTGGCGAGGACGCCCCCTCCTGCCAAGCAGCCCCCTCCCCAAACAACAGATGAGATTCGGGAGGACCCCCTTGTTTGTGTCGGGTGAGGCGAGACACAGCCTCCACACTCCCACTCTTGCTTTGTAAGTGACAGATAAACTGTCCCCAAGGAAGCAGCCAATCACTGAGAAAAACACTCCCTGCCCAGGTGCCGACTGAGACCCTCATCACGAAAACCATCCCTGGCATCACATCGCCCCATCGGCAGGTTGCCTACCCCTCCACAGAAAACTTGAAGACTGCACTCTGCTCCTGGGCTCAGACCCCTCCTGCACTGTCCGGGGGAGACCAGCCTCCTTCCCGGCTCAGGTCCACCCGTGCTGCCTGCCTGAGCCGGCTTCCCGGGGCTCCACATGCCCCCTCCATTGCCCTTGGTCCTCGGCTTGCAGGTCCCCTCCTCGCTGATACCGGCTCCGGAGCGGCCCGCCTGGCCACCCTCTAGCACATTCTACCGGATCTTACCTGACCCGGTCTCAGTCATTCATTAACCCCACGGGGGTCTAAGGGGCCCATCCCACCCCCCCCCCCCCAGGGAGCTGCCACTGGGCAGAGCGCAGGACAGAGGAAGCAGGCACTTACGGAGCTCACACTTCAGGCCGAAGTTCTTCCCGAGCTTATTGATTCTCACCATGGGGGTGTCTCCAATTTTCTGCAGGATATCTGGCAAGATTTGGGGGGATTTTGCCCTACAACAGAGGAATCCATGATTATTCAGAAAAACAAAATGGTATCAGCCTTGGCAGTCCAGCACATTCTTTTAAATAAACCCAAGAACTGGCTTTAACAAGGGACATGGGTGGGGTTACACAAATCTGCACACAGGATAAAAGGTCACCATCTCTCTCTCTCTCTCTCTCTCTCTCTCTCTCACACACACACACACACACACACACACACACACCCGTAAAACCCTATGAAGTGCACCATGTCTGTAACTTAGTTACAGTCAGCTGCACCAACATCACTGCCCGGGTTGGAAAATGCACTACAGAACTTCGGGGGCCCAGGGGAACTGCGGCCCCGCTCCCCCATGTTCTTTCTCCAGAGTTAGGTCTCTCAGACCCGGCAGGGTGCAGGGCTGGTAACTGATCTGTCTTTGCCTTCAAGCAGATAATGAGTTTTGTCAGCAAAGCATTCCTTTGGGGGGAAATGTGAAAGAAAGACAGAGAAAATGCACGGTGGCGATGGAAGATGGCTTGGATGGGCAGCTAGGTGAAGGGGACACAGGACACGTTACACTGTTTCCAAATACAAAAGTTGACTTCAAAACAACAGGCCCAAGTCCAGCCTTTTAGAAAGTCTTCCCTTTTCTGCATCTGACCACGCCCCTCTCCTTTCCTTCTCTCTGATCAGGAAACCGCTGTGACCCCAGAGCAGAGCCCCTTCAGACTGCCTGGTGACCAGGCAGTGGCACTGACTGTGAAGAGCACCTGGCCTCACTCAGAAAGTGTCAGGCACAGGTGCTATGAAGCGTGAACTCAGGACAAAAGAACAAAGACCTTGGGTTGGTCACTTTATCCTTAGGATCAGGGTCAGGATCAATTCCCAGGTGCACCTCCGGGCCCGTGTGGCGTTTCCTTCCCACAGGCCAACTGTCTGCCTTCGTGTGCCCGAGACCAGTCCCGGTCCCAGACTGTCTCCTCCTGCCAAGCTGGCAGAGGGACAGCATTGGGGTGCGTGCGAACCGCGACCTGGCACCTCCTACATGGCCCCTGTGGCGATGTTTCCTCCTTGCCCGCGGGGGCCGGTGCTCACCGAACACCCCGGCAGGCACATACACAACAGGCCTGGGTTTCAAGAAATGAAATAGCTTCCTACACCCCGGGGTTTCTAATGCACCTGCCGAGGTCCTCAGACTTCCAATGAGTTCCCATCACCAGTGCTGAACTCATTGAACACCAAGACTCCTGGTCCCACCCCCAGGTGGTGGCCCCACTCCACAGGGGTCTTGAGACAGGTGACCAATGCTGGGGCCCAAACCACCTGCACAGTCACATGGGGGAGGGACTGGAGGGCTGGGGGGTGGCCCGGTCACACGGGACCTGAGGGGCTGTGGCAGCAGCCAGAGGAAGCTGAGGTCCGTCCCTCACCAGGCAGGGGGCAGTGGGCAGGTCAAGACCATGGTCAAGTGTCCTGCTAGCAGAGGAGCTACAGCCCAGCTCCCTCACAGCCGGGGCCTGAACCGGGACAAGCAGTGCAGGGCTCCGGGCTTCAGGACGGGGCAGCATCCCCTCTGGGGTTTTCACCACGGGGTAAGTAGGCCTGGACGTGAGGTGCAGGAGTAATGTTGTCTCACAAACTGGAGAGGGCAGGGTCCTTTCCGCCCCAAGACTCAGGGTCAGGTCACCCAGCCCTCGGGAGCCTGGGCCTCTCTTGCCTGCCTACCCCCAGCAGCCACACCCCCGCCTCACCCCTGCTTTCACTCACCGCTCGGTTTGGTTTAATTCATTTTGTTTTTTTCTGGTTTGGTTTGTTTTGGCACGAGGGTTCGTCCTGTCTGAAGGCCAGCGGCCAACTTGGCCTCCAAAGAGCTTAGCACTGAGATGCGGTCAATGCTTGGAGCTTATGGACTTGTAAATTTCCATTCCTACCTATTGACCCCCACAGAGAAGGGCACCCTTCTCTCCACCCCCCAGTCCTGGTTCTAAAATCAATAATCATAAATGTTGGTAAAGGAGTTTATACAGAATGAGACTCAGACACCTAAAAGGCATAGTCTTTGACTCTGGGGGATTACACTGTGAAAATAAAGATAATCCTAAAATTTAGTGAGCTTCATTTAAGTTTCACAATGGGTTAGGGATGCTGCCGTTTTCCCCCTTGTGCCCCTCATAGATCTCACGCACCTAGAACAGGACACAAAATGTAGTAGGCGCTTCATACCAATGCACTGAGTGTATGAAGGTGTAGCGGTGTCTGCTGTAGTTATCCAGGATGAACTCATCGCTGCATCTCGGTCCCATTGGAAGGGTTAGAAAGTTACGGTTTGTTCTTCCCACAGTCTCTTGTCAACCCTGAAAAGAGTCTGCTGCGAAGAACTAGTTCATGACCAGGAGAAATATGTACGACTTAGTGTCACATAGGAAGGTGCTAACCCTAACTACTGAAATTATGCACACTCACCTCCAACAGGAGTGTGCAGCCAGACGGACCTGGACTAGAAACTTTCCTCTACCTGTCACTCACAGCGTGTGGCTTAGGCACCACCCTTTATGTCTTCAGCCTCTACTCTCACCTGACACTGACTTAGGTGCTGGGCTACAGTGTAAACAAGCCTTGGCCTCTCTGAGCCTTGGTGGTCTCATCTATAAAGTGCCCCATCCTGCAGCTCGCCAGCCATCAGAGTGATTACAGGTGGCGGGGTGGTCACACCCCACGTCCACAGTCTCCCCGCCTCCAGGTAACGGATGAACCACCGCGTGACCATAAACAGGGACTTACAAGGCAGTGTGTTGATGAGGGGACTCGGTGATGGGCCTGCCCAGCTTCCAGGAGCACCTGCTCAGGGCATCGGGCCGGATCCACAGGAGATCCTTGCTGTCCTTTCCCCCCGGAGGCCCCTGCTTTGGGCTCCCGTTTGCTGAGTGTGCCCCTGACATGTGGGGGCACCCTGCCACCCCCTCTTCGGCTTGGGGTGTCTCAGAAGGCATGCTGCCACCTGTCAGAGGGATGGGGAAGAGAAGTCACATGTTGAGACCATTCCCAAATGCTGCCGAAGAGCCTGCCGTGTGGCTGCTGGGCCTGGCCTCTCTCCTGCCTCCTCTGGGTGTGGGCTGCACTCATTCCAACAGCTCAGCAAGAACAGGCACAGAAAGAGGCACCAGGTGCCCTGGACAACTCTGGTGGTTTCTCAAAAGGTTAACCACAGAACGAACTACCAGGTGACCCCCCACAACTCTACTTCTAGGCATCTATTAAAAAATGGAAACGTATTTGCACACTGCATTCATAATAGCACTATTCACAGTAGCCAAAATGTGCAGACAAAGCAAGTGTCCATCAGTGGATTGAGCGCAGCCTGAGAACCAGAGTATCACGGTTCGATTCCCAGTCAGGGCACATGCCTGGGTTGCAGGCCAGGTCCCCACTGGGGGACACATGAGAGGCAACCACACATTGATATTTCTTTCCCACTCTTTCTCCTTCCCTTCCCCTCTCTCTAAAAATAAATAAATATTAAAAAAAAAAAGCAAGTGTCCATCAATGACTGAGTGGATATACTCATTCAAAATGTGCTGTATCCATACATGAGTACTATTTGGCCAAGCTGAGCTGGTATGGGGAACAGAGCCTTCCCTCTGTCCCTCTGTCATTGCCCCATCAGAGGGTGGGGGTGGGGGGTAGGTGTGATTCTTCCACCTTGCAGAAGCCCCCCACCCCAAGTCATAGGCCTCCCCCCCACCCCATCCCTACTGTCCAGAGGTGAACAGCCTGGCATTGCCCTGGCCAGTGGGCGCTTGCTGGGTTGCTGGACTGGCCACAATCCCACGGGGACTCGGCCCCAGCAAGATGCAGGCCTCTCCCTCTTGGCGACTTGCCTCACCCTGGAGCTACTCCAGAAAGGTAAGGCGCTACAGGGAACACAGATGGAAATCGATCTGGTCGGCAGAAACCAAAGGCATGCTGCTTGGCTACTGCGTCCGAACTCCCAGGCTCTGGCCCGCATTGCCTGGCTCAGCTGCCAGCGGCCACTGCAGGCTGACTCACACTCTTTCTATCCCTTAAACCGAAACATCCTCCTGAGGTCGTGGTGCTTGCAACTGCACCCCGCACTAGCGCACCGGTCAGCCGGAAGGGGTACGGTTAGGGTCCAGGGTGCGGACGGTAGTAAAGTCGTCTTTTAAGTAAGAATTTCCAGGTAGGAGACCGAGGTCCTCCAATGAATCTGGGCACCGTCGAGTCATAATCCTGAGGCTAACAGTTTTTCGTTCCCACCCCACTCCCACCCGACACCCTGCCCGGGCAGGGCCCCGCGCGCCCCGTGCCCCCTGCCCCTCACGGGCACGCAACTCGACTGTCGCCCGCGCAGCTACATCGACATTTACCCTCACCCTATGCAACTAGCTGAAAGGAACAGTTTGCGAAACGGCCATTTCCCATCGGGAATGCGGCGAAAAATCAATGATGGGCACCATTACGGCTCATCATCCCATAATTCCCTCCCATGTCCCAGGGCGGCGGTCCCAGGCTCGCGACCCTGCGTCCTCCACAGCCCGCAGTTGAGGTAGGGTTCCGCGCCCTGAACCCTCTGAACGAGCTCTGAACCCTCGCCTTCAGGCCGGTCTGGATTGCGGGAGATAGGGCCCCGAGAACCAGGAGGGGTCGCCAGCCCAGCTCCTCCTCGTGCGGCTGCAGATGATGCAACTCCAGCGGGGGATGGGCGTTCCGGTACCCAGACGACCCCTCGGCCCAGGTCTTGGGCAGGTCTGGGCCGAGCGGTGCTCACCTGGGCCGAACGCGGGAAGGGGGCGTGTGAAGCGCGTCTGCACGCGGCGAGCGGAGGCGGGACGACTGCGATCCAAAGCCTGGAGCCGGGGGATGGCGGGCCTCGGAGGGATCCGGCGTCCAGGGATGGCTGGGAGACGATTGGCTGAGCGGCGGGGGCGGAAGGCCAGCTCTCAACCAATCCGGAGGTGCTAGGCGCCAGGCCGCCCCCACGCCCGCGCGCCCCCTGCTCTGCCCAGCCCCTCGTCTCTCCCCGCCACCCACACTACCTGCCCCGGAGCCCCGCTCCTCCCATCCCACCCCCACTGCCGCCCAGCGGGTCCGGACCCGTCTGCCCCCAGGCCCCACCCATCCCCAGGGCCCTGCTCCCACCCCACCCCCAACTGTGCACAGTGCAGCCGAAAGCTGGACTCACGCCTCCCCGCTGCCCCGCCCCACCCCCCATTCTCCTTTGGAGCAACTGCTGGCTGGTGGGCCGCGTTCTTCCCCGGACCCCGCGGTCGGGCGGGGCTGCGTGCGCGCTCAACACCCGGTGTCCCGAGGCCGTGTTACTACTTAGGTAACTGCTGGCTCTGTGCTGCGAAATAAACATGTGGATGAATTTTAAACGTGCCGTCTGGAGAGGAGAAGGACTCGGAAGGCCCTGAGGATGAGCCACGGCAAATATCCCGCCCTCGGGGCCCCTTGACCCGCTGCGGTCTGGGGCCTACGCGCTCGTGGCCTCTGGTCTCTGGACCGCGGGGGCCGAAAGCTGCGGCGGCTCGACGCGCTCACAGTGAACGTGGCGGGAGGGTTATCGGGATCTTTTTCCTGTCCCGGTGCTGAGACGCACCAGCTTCGCCGGCCCAGCGCCCTCCTCCGCCCAGCAAGCGGACTCTCTCCCTGGTCAGAGAAGGGACCTGAGCTCACTGAGACTAGGTCAGAAGTCACAGAAGCCCCATAAATCAGATGTCACGCAGGTGGTCCCCATCCATGGACGCTGGGGCTGCGGTCCAGGAGGAGTCTGGGCACCACTGGAAGGCCAAAGCTAACAGCAGTGTGCTAAACATGTGTGCCCTGGAGTCCTCCAGGGCTGAAGGGAGGACCGCTCAACCTGTTTCTCGGCACCTGATGCGTCAAGGGTGGTCCTTCCTGGTTTGGACACAGGTGGGCACATTGAGTGGCTCTGCTGAGCACCGCGTGCCCAGGTCCCATCCAGAATTATTTAGCAAGTCCCTGCCACCTGCCCAAGTTTGTCCCAGGCTCTGGATACAGAGCCCAACTTAGAGTTAACAGGAGCTTCTTTCCTGCCGCTGTTTCTAAACCATCTAGGCCAGCAATTCTCAACCTGTGAGCCGCAAGAATTTTTAAAACACACAGTGTCTGACTATTTACTCAGGGACACTGACCTCTTTCCCTTCAGATTGTTAGATTAAATAATGACAACAGCCATTCGGTGGGAATGACCTGTCTTGAACCATAAATATATAGGTCATATCATACAATTGCATCTTACTGGTCACCTCAGATAATAAGGTTGCACCTGATTAATTCTTGGTGCCAAAAATTCTTATATACAAGTATAGGCACCTGATTTTTTAAAAATCATTTTGGAGCAAGAAGGGTAGGTAATTACTATTATTAGTAGTAGTAAATCAGTAAAAATTACCCCTGATTTTGTCAGATCAGGAAAAACTGTACTTTTTTGAGTGCCACAGAACTTGAGGAACTAGTTTGTGTGCCATGAGATGAGAACATTTGGAAAGCATTGATCCGAGAGAAGGGGCTCGATCACAGAGCACTTTGTAATGAAACGTCCACTAGTGAGAACTGGTTTAAAGAACCACAAAGCCAGAAATGTGGGAGGGGGAGGAAAAGCCAGCTAGTCTTAGATCAGGGAATCAGGGAAAGTCTCTCTGGACAGGTGACCTTAAGTGGAGACCTCAGGAGCCACACCTTGTTCTGGGGGAGGAATGTTCTAGGCATTGCCAATGCCTAGGCAGGAACCAACTCAGGCCTGAGTCAGAGGGACCTCTGAAGTGAGGAGCAGGAGTGGCCAGAGAGGGTGGGAGGGGGCGGGGCCTGAGCACTGTGGGCCAGCATCTGGGCTTCAGCCTCAATGACATGGGGCCCTTGGGGGTAGGTTTTTTGTTTTCGTTTTTGCTTTTGTTTTTGCTATTGAGAGGGGAAGGTTAGGGAGAAAGAGGGAGAGACACATCAATGCATCGACGTGAGACAGAAACATCCAATAGTTGTCTTCTCCTATTCGCCTTGACCGGACTGAACCTGCAACCCAGGCATGTGCCCTGGCCAAGAATTGAACTGGCAACCTTTTGGTTTGTGGGACAACATCCTACCCACTGAGCCACATGGACCAGGTCTTGAGGTAATTTTTGATCATGCTTTGTATCATTTGATCTTGGCATAATTTCGGACTGTCACAAAAGTGGCAAAGAATTCCTAGGTACTCACCCAGATTCCCAAATGTTAAACTTTCACTAATCCCTGGAACCTGTGAGTGTGGCCTTATTTAAAACTAGAGTCTTTGAGGGTATAATCAGCTTAAGATGACATCATACGGGAGCCCACACAAGAAGAGGGAAATTCGGACACAGACTCGGAGCGGAGAAGGACATGTGACCACAGAGACGGAGATCAGAGTCAGCTGGCCTGAGACACAGATGTGGTACCAGGAGCTGGAAGAGGCAGGAAGAGCCCCCACCCAACCCTCAGTGTTCAGGTGGGGGGGGGGGCAAGGCCCTGCCTTGATTTTGGACTTCTAAACTCCAGAAGTTGGTGGTAGTTGTAATGGCAGCCCACGTACTAAAATTTTGAAAGATTTTTGACATAATTTCAGACTGCCAGGAAAGTAGTAAGAATAATACAAAGAATTCCCAAGTGGCCCTTCCAAATGTTCATTTTTTGTTACATTTGCTTTACAGTTTTTTCTCTCTTTCTCTGTCTCTCTCTATATGTGTTTGTGTGTATTATGAATCTAAGTATCTACCATCTGTTTATTGTCTGCCTATTTATTTTTTAATATATTTTACTTTATTTTTTTAATATTTATTTATTTTTAGAGAGAGGAGAAGGGAAGGAGAAAGAGTAGGAGAGAAACATCAATATGTGGTTGCCTCTCATGTGTCCCCCACCAGGCCTGGCCTGCAACCCAGGCATGTGCCCTGACTGGGAATTGAACTGGCAACCCTTTGCTTCACAGGCCCGTGCTCAATCCACTGAGCTACACCAGCCAGGGCTATTTTACTTTATTTTTTATTTTAGAGAGAGGGGAAGTGCACAGAAAAAGAGGGAGAAAAGCAGCAATGTGACCATATCCCTTCCATAAGTGCCCCAGGAGACTGAACCTGCAAACCCAGGCATGTACCCTGACTGGGAATAGAACCGACAACCTTTTGGTTTGTGTGACGGTGCCCAGCCAACTGAGCCACACCAGCCAGGGCTCTATGTGCTTTTCTTTCTGCACAGTTGAGAGTAAGTTGCAGACTTGCTGTCCCTTTATTTGTAAACACTTCAGTGTGTGTTTCCTAAAACTGAAACATTGTTTTCTATAAAATAAATTAGACAATACAACTGTCAAAATCAAGAAGCTAAGCTAAAACTGCTCTTTAAAAAGTCTTTTAAAAGCTCACACAAAAAGCGAACATCATTTCAAAGCTATGATCTAACCAACAGAGCCTTCTTTGAGTTTACTGATCATTCCCATGGGGTCCTTCAGAGCAAATCCCTGACCCCAGGCCACATGCAGTGGCCAGGTCTCCTTAGTCATCCTTTGGGTCAAGACACTGCCACTTTTGAAGCGTCCAGGCCAGGTCTTTGTGTGACCTTCCCTCGTGACTGGACCCAGAGGGTGCACTTCCACCAACCCCCATAAGAGCCATGCTAGTTAGTGCCTGTGGCCTGTCTGTCTGATTGTCCCTTCTCTGGCAGGCATGGCTAACTTTGAACATTTGCTTTCTCTGCTGTAAAGTTACAATTTTAACTCTTTGTAATTAAAAAGTGTTTTGTGGGAAGATACTGTGAAACTATGTAAACACCCTTCACAAACTCACTCTCCAGTTGTAGCTTCCATTGATGATTTGTGTGTTTCTGAATCAATTTCCATTAAAATGGTGGCCAAGGGGTGATTTTCCTAATTCCATCGTTCTTTCTGCAATTATTATTTGGCATTCCACTGGGAGGGTGTATCTTTTCCCCGACTCACTTGTCTGGTGGATTATTTACACCAGGGTGGATTCACAGTCCCTCTTAAGAGCATGCATTTTACTATTGAAAGTGCACAATCCGGTGGTGTTAAGAAACGATATGTAGTATTCGGAGTTGTGCAATCATGACCACAATTTAATTCAAACCTTTCTGTCACTCCAAAAAGAAACCCTGTATCTGTCGGCAGTCCATCCGCATCCCCGTGCGGTCTGCCAGCTGTGGGTAAACCGCTCCTTTATCCTGTTTGTCGGGGGCTCCACGGAGTCTCGCCTTATGAAGTAGGTCATACTGTTTTATTTTTAAAGATTTTACTCATTTATTTTTAGAGAGAGATGAAGGGAGGGAGAAAGAGGGAGAGAGACATCAATGTGTGGTTGCCTCTCGAGCATCCTTCACTGCAGACCTGGCTTGCAACTCAGGCAAGTGCCCTCCCTGACTGGGAATTGAACCAGAGACCCTTTGGTTCGCAGGCCAGTGCTCAATCCACTGAGCCATTCCAGCTGTGGCAAAATAGGTTATGATCTTTTTTATTTTATTTTACTTTTTTAATTTATTTTTTTTATTGATTATGCTGTTACAGTTGTTCTATTCCCCCCCTTCATTCCCCTCCACCCTACCCTCCCATCCCCACCATTACCCACCCTTTAGTTTATGACCATGTGTCTCAAGTTCTTTAGATTCTATATTTCCCATACTATTCTTGCCCCCCCATCTATTTTCCATCTATTGTCTATGCTACTTATTTTCTGTACCTTCTCCCCCCTTCTCCTCCTCCCACTCCCCTGTT